CCCACCAAAGATAGAATTGGGCCAAACTTCCCACACAGAACCCCCATGACTAACAGAAAATACTGTGTTTTCTGATGGTCTTTGGTGACCCCCCCCGAGGTCCCAACCCCCAGGTTGAGAAATGCTGCTTTAGAAGTTTTTTTCACTCAATTTTGGGAACTATTCTTCCCATTCGGGTCCACACTATTATGCACCCTATTCAGGAGAACCTTTTGGGAGTCTGTGGACACTATCAGGGAAAGTCCAGCTAAGTGATTCACCCATCACCAAACACCATCTTCTGGTGGCATGTCAGATACCCAGAATTCTCTGTTGTATTTAGTGTGAAATACAAATATGACTTCAAAAGTTAAGGGCTATAACCTTTATACTTCCAGACAAATGTCAATAAACACATCAGAAAAATTAGCCATCTAAGCATGTCAGATGGAATTTCATATCAGACCAATGCCCTTGGCATAATCACTCATATCTCTTAGTCGCATGGACAACTGCTGCAAATGTCCTTATTGGAACTTCCAAGCTCTAGCCAAAGAATAAAAGGTCCAAGGCTGAAATGGAAAAGATAACACATACAAGGATGCAAGAGCATATTAACTATGCAAATAACACTATGTAATAAAATTGAAAAAAAAACTGGTTTGGAAGTGTTACTCCTGTTTAATTATGTGTCACTTTGAAAGTAGTTGTTATACTCCACAAACTTCATTTTTGTGGCTGCCACAAACTACGTTGAATGGGTTGAGACTCTATGAGATACTCACTGAAAAACTATAGCAAAATGTGCTGTAGGATGTCCCGCAAAAAAGAAAAGTTTTTGCAGTGTAATGCAACTTTTTAATGTTTTTATGATAGAACCAATTAGGAAATGACATTTATAACCCAGGAACAAAAATTGTGTTACATGGTGCAATCAGGAACAGCTTTGGACAGTCTTATATCAATTGTTTTTCGTCCTTTTCTCTGGTGCAAAATATGTTTAGCTTAGCATTCCATGGTGGTCACTTTGAAAAGCAAAGTCAGCATTTTAATTAAGTTAACATCTTGATGATACCATGACGAGGGCCCAAAAAAAATCCCTAAAAGAAGCCTGCCACCTGACAAAACCATATTCTAGGAAATATTTATTTACACAGTAAATAGATGCATTACTTATATTTTAGTGCATTAGAATGTAGCCCCGAGTGGAGCAATGGGTTAAACCCTTGTGGCCAGCAGGACTGCTGACTGAAAGGTCAATGGTTTGAATCCAGAGAGCAGGGTGAGCTCCCATCTGTCAGCTCCAGCTTCTCATGTGAAGACATAAGAGTAGCCTCCCACAAAGATGGTAAAACATTCGGGCATCCCCTGGACAACATCTTTGCAGACGGCCAATTCTCTCACACCAGAAGCGGCTTGCAGTTTCTCAAGTCGCTCCTAACACGAATAAGAGCATGTTTAAATATTTTTGTTGTTGTGTGACATGTTAATGCCATTTAAACACTGCCCAGAAAGCTTACAGATGGCCAACTGTTTCTCAAGTCACTCCTGACATTAAAAAATGTAGACAGAGATGTTACCTAAAAAAATAGTTATGAATGTAGTTACGAATGTGTAACTTATATATTGTCTTCTGACCCAGCTCCCCAAATGTACCTACTGGCCTGCAGATCCACCAAGCAAGGCATATCTGTTCTGATATAGTTGGGGTTTTTTTTATTACATTCAGTGGTGCCTTGGTTTTCAGTGAAAATGGGATTTAACTGTAATTTTTATATCCTATGGGATATAATACCCCAATATAAATAAAATAAACATTTTTACAAAAATGTTTCAGCTCATGAGCGGTTTTGTGCCTTCCCCAAGCAGCTTTTCATTTGCATCAGAAATACATTTTTTTTTTTGCATCCTCACACATCCTAACAGCAACTACAGAAATCACACAATTTCATGTTTGCTGCTACGGCAGCTTTGCAATTATTTGGCACCAGAGGCTTGCGAGCAACCCATTGTCATTAAAATTTCATACTCTACCAATCAGCAAGCATATTGTGCTTTTCTGCAAACTCAATGTGCGGGTACTTCCAGCATGTTTTTAAAGAGGTTGCCTGCTGGCTATATGCCAATCTATACGCCCACTCAAGGCAAGTACTTTGGGAAGCTCCATTAGAAGCAGCTGGGTTATATAAAGGCTTCATAGTCTTAGATCACCCAGCCTTCCGCCCCACTCTCCTTGCAATATATAAATAGCACTATCTGTCACCTCCATCACACTGACAGGATTTCCAACTCAAACTTTTCTAGGTCTTTGAGCTTCAGGCACATTGGAAATTGCATAGCATTCCAGAATTGTCATTTACTGCATTCCATTTTTTGTCTACCAACCTCTCCCCACCACAGGACCCAATACAGTTACATCCCCTCAGGTGTAAAAACAGCCAAGGGGAAGGCACATCAAACAAACCCTTGTTGTGGCCACTTTCCATCTGGAAATCTACGTCCTTAATGTGAAAGGACATGTGGATCCAGAATAGGCTTCCAGAGTCATTTATGGACCCACTGCCAAGACTCTATACCCTTTGAAGATAATCATGCCTGGCCATGAGTGTCTCCCATGATGATGGTGACAGTCCAGTGCATCTCCTATGTAAAGGTTTCCCCTTAACATTAAGTCTAGTCGTGTCCAACTCTAGGGGTTGGTGCTCATCTCTGTTTCTAAGCCGAAGCGCCGGCGATGCCCGTAGCCGCCTCCTAGGTCATGTGGCTGGCATGACTGCATGAAGCGGTGTTACCCTCCTGCTGGGGTGGTACCTATTGATTTACTCATATTTGCATGTTTTCAAACTGCAAACTGTTAGCTGGGGCTAACAGCAGGAGCTCACCCAACCCACCAGATTTGAACTGCCAAACTTTTGGTCAGCAAATTCAGCAACTCAGTGGTTTCACCCACTGCACCACCGGGGGCTCCTATATATATAGATAGATATAGATTTATATATATCTCCTATATAGAATCTATAGAAATACAGCCCCTCAAAATGTATAGGCTGCTCCTGTCAATTAGAGCAAGATAAATGAAAGGTAAGAGTAGCAGGCAAGTCTAAATGCTTCCATTAAGGTCAACCAACATGAAAGAATTAAAGACCTTCCAAACTTATTTCCCTCCTGTTTGCTTTTCATAGAGTATTGTTGGAAGATTATGGGCAGGCCTAAGACTCCAAAAGCAGTCTACAGTGTGCTCAATTAGATGCCTTCCAAATATATTGTACTACAACTCCCTTCATCCCAGATTGCAATTCCACTGGGCATACCAAGCTGGGAATGCTAATAGTTAACCTTTCATAAGCATGCACTTGAGGAAAGCTGATTACACTTTACATCAGTGGTTCCCAACCTATTTTTTGATCAAGGACCTCTTTGATCAGGGACCACTTGAACAGGGACCATTCTCCAACATTAGTACCAGAAGGGTTGCAAATCAGTTTTTGGTCAACTTTAGATTCAGTTTGGTTATTTGGGATGCTGATTCAGAAAACTGCATTGGATAGACCACATCAGTTCTAGTTTCGGATACAGAATATATGCCATCCAGTAGTCACCCTCTGCTCACCCACAGAAAAGCATATTTAATAATCTAGAGCAGATGTGGTAGAAGTAATCTTTTGTGGATAGTCAGCCTCTCCCCTCCCGACATTCCCGTTGCCTCGGCACTATAAGAGAGTTTTGAAAGACCAGTCACTCTTGTTGCTGCGTGATTTTGAGGGAATGGCGTATTAATGGTGAGGCCGCGGACCATATTTTCGTTCTTGGGGACCACTGGTGATCCACAGACCACAGGTTGGGAACCACTGCTTTAAATGCTTCATATATTGGATAATGAGGGCTGGGCTTGACAATGCTCCATGTGACCTTGTACTTAATGTGCTTGTTTTTAAGAAAATGAATAAATATAGCCTCTGCAGGGTATAGAACGCTGTGAAATCCTGCCGGCATGGATTTTTTCTCTCCATTGCATTTGAGTAGGAGGCCAGCATTTAACTTGTTTGCAGGGATCTGTTGATACGGGATGGGAAAAAACCATTTATATTAATAAGTTAGTGATACAGTTAGCTGGTTGGTTGGCCTCGCTCAAAGGAACTCAAAATTTCTCCCAGCCGGTGGAAAGTGGAATTGACAGAAGAAGTTTGTGCTTTATGTCACTTTATTTTATTTTGTTTTTGTTGTACCTTATGTTTTCTGATTCTGAGTGAATCAAGTAGAATATCCTGAATTCTGTACAAAACTCTATACCCATTTGAATTTGGAGCATCTTTATACCCTAGGATACAGTGCAGTTCTCATTAGTGGATCAGAAAATATTCACAACTCACAACTCAAACAGCACAAGATGTCTTGGTTTCTCTTCACTCCAGTGCAGAGAGGTTGAATGAGCAAACCTGTGCATGAGAGTTGAAACATCAATTGCACATTTCCTAAGGCATTCACGGGTGTGTGTATGCAGAAGAACATTTATCCATTGTAATTAGGAATGAAAAGTCAGTGCAGGAGAAAGATTACTCAAAACACCACCACTTGATTCTGAAATGTGAAGCCAGACACTGAGGTTCTTTGGGTAGATTTGCTGGCTCTGGGAATTCAGCATGAAAGAGAAAGCCCTGGATTCCCTCCCCGTGTTATATTCTCTCTCTTATACATTTGACAGATGCGTGGATTAAAGAAGAGAGGTCAGTATGCAATATTTTCTTATGTGAAAATTTCTTATGGTTTAAACTGGTTGATTTCAGAAATGTATGGGTTAAAACAATAGAGATGTGTAGCATTGGTAGAGTACCACTTTTGGAGTTTCCAATGCAGACTGGAAAAGGAGCCCTGAGCTGTGTAATGTGCTCCGTGCAGCTTGCAAAGATGTGATCGGACATGACCGGAGAATGGAATGTATATTTTTTGTGTAAATAAAGATAAAGAGCCGCTTTCGGTCAAAGCTGAATTAAGGAGTCTGGTGTTTTTACTACTTCGTGCCTTTCAAGTGGAACTTGGAAGTGGGTTGTTGTAGATTTTTCGGGTGACCTCACAACCTCTGAGAATCTGCCACAGATGCAGGCTAAACATTAGGAAAGAATGCTTCTAGAACAATAATAATAATAAATAATAAAAAACCTTTATTTATACCCCGCTCCATCTCCCCCAAGGGGACTCGGTGCGGCTTAAACGAGGCCACGCCATCAGTACCCATACATACATTATAATAAAAACACATGACAATACCAGAAATAAAATACATAAAATGCAAAGAAATAAAATAAACTACGCAGACAATATAAAACAAGCAATCAAAAACAGAGAATTTCACTGGGAAGGGCCACATTCAAAGCTAAAATTTTAAAAACAAGGCCATACAGCCCAAAAAACCTACAACAACCCAGTGATTCTGGCCATGAAAACCTTCAACAGAACTTGGAAGGTCAAGGCAGCTGAGATAAGGAAGGTGATTTATCCCAATTTCCAACAAGGGAGTCTGAATTCCTGGAGAAGATGATATAATACTCTGATGATGGCAGAGAAGTGTCCATTCTTACTGGAAAATGGTTTTTCAATCAGCTCATCTGGAGATGTGGGTACTGCTGCACTATGCAAAGAAAGGTCAAGAATTGGTACAGGGAGAGAAAATAAAGAAGTCCACATTAAAATATTTTAAACACAGATAGACATAGAACCAAATTGCAAAGCCTATGTGAGTCCCATTTGTTTTCATTTTTCTAATAAATAAAAGAAACCACCTCAACCCCCTCTCCGCACACACAAACACACACAGAAATGGTGCTCTCTGTTGGCATAGCTGAAATTCACATATGTATCAAACACCATTTTAAGAATAATTAAAAAGAGCAAAACACAAAGCTAACCATGGGTTGCTATAGGTTTTCAGGTTGTATGGCCATGTTCTAGAAGCATTCTCTCCTAACGTTTCACCTGCATCTATGGCAGGCATCCTCAGAGGTTGGAAGGTCTATGCCTGCCATAGATGCAGGCGAAATGTCAGGAGAGAATGCTTCTAGAACAGTGTTTCTCAACCTTCCTTAATACAGTTCCTTATGTTGTGGTGACTCCCAACCATAACATTATTTTCAATGCTACTTCATAACTGTAATTTTGCTAGTTATGAATTGTCATGTAAATATCTGATATGCAGGATGTATTTTCATTCACTGGACCAAATTTGGCACAAATACCCAATACACCCAAATCTGAATACTGGTGGGGTTGGGGTGGGATTGATTTTGTCATTTGGGAGTTGTAGTTGTGGAATTTAGAGTTCACCTACAATCAAAGAGCATTCTGAACTCCACCAACGATGGAATTGAACCAAACTTGGCACACAGAACTCCCATGACCAATAAAAAATTCTGGAACCCCCCTGTTTAAGGAGCTCCATTGGCTGCCATTCATCTTCTGGTCCCGATTCAAGGTGTAGGTCATCACCTACAAAACTCTGAACTGTTTGGGACCTACCTACCTTTGTGACCAGAACTCCTACCACAAACCTGCATGATCTCTTCGATCCTTTGGAGAGGCCCTTCTCTTGCCCCTTCCTCTATCACAGGCTCAACTTATGGAAATGAGGGAGAGGGCCTTCTCTGCTGTGGCCCCCCGCTTTTGGAACTCGCTACATAGGGAGATCAGGCAAGCCCCTACCTTAGCTGCTTTCAAGAAAGATCTAAACACTTGGCTTTTCCGATGTGCCTTCGGAGAGTGACCACGCAACCCATCTGGTTGTTTCCACCTACAGTTGCCCTCAGATTAAAGCACCTTCCCATGTCCCCTATAAAGGCCAAACTCCATTGCTCCTCCCTTCCAGGCTCCTCTCTCATAAATGCACTGTATATCCCTATCTCGCCCAGGGTTTTAACCTTTTAACATTTTACCTCATACACCTGGCCCACCCTATGTGTTCAATTTTATAATGCTATTTTATATTGTTTATTTTATTTGCTATTTATGTATTTTGTTATGATGTATTTTTTGTTATTTCGTGTTTAATCATGTTGTATTATTTTGGGCTTGACCTCATGTTAGCCGCCCCAAGTCCCCTTTGGGGAGATGGTGGTGGGTTATAAATAAAGATGATGATGATTTTTATTATTATTATTTGGTGGGCATTGACCTTGAGTTTTGGATTTGTAGTTCACCTACACCCAGAGAGCACTGTGGACTCAAACAATGACAAATCTGCACCAACCTTGGCATGAATACTCAAAATGCCAAATGTGAACACTGGTGGAGTTTGGGGAAAATAGACTTTGACATTTGGGAGTTGCAGTTGCTGGGATTAATAGTTCAACTACAATCAAAGAGCATTCTGAACACCACCAATGATAGAATTGGGCCAAACTTCCCACACAGAACCCCCACGAGCAACAGAAAATACCATGTTTTCTGATGGACTTTAGCAACCCCTCTGACACCCCCTTGTGACCTCCCCGAAGGGTCCCGACCCCCAGATTGAGAAATGCTGTTCCAGAACATGGCCATACAGCCCAAAAAACCTACAACAACCCAGTGATTCCAGCCATGAAAGCCTTTGACCGTACAAAGCTAACCATGTTTGTGTTTCTTGATAATACAAGCAGCATATATTACGCTTTCAGATTACACAGGAGGAGTGGACACGGGTTTCACAGAGGAGAGATTGGGGAGGGGGCATAAAGTGAGCCACTTCTGCATCATGTATGAACTCCACTGAAGAATATGAAGGGCTTGGAGTTTGGAACTCAACTACATTTATACAATAGCCACACATGTTTCTACTCTAATGGGTAATTAATTTTTTCCATGTTTTTATGACAGAACCAATTAGGAAATGACATTTATAACCCAGGAACAAACATGGTGTTACATAGTGTGTAATAAAGGATTTTAAAATTGGCAGACAGTCTACTGAATTGACAAAGGGTCAGACCGGCACACGGTCTTTGCAAAAATTACTTTTTCACACAGCATTTAGCTTATTAATAAATGTGTCTGTAAGTTTCACAGTGAATTCACATTGCAGGCAAATGATGCACTTTGATAGGCCTGAGAATCTGCAACTGATCTCCCTGTAGTTTCTCAGAGGTTTTCCATGGCGCTGATTCATTTGTACAGACCGAACTCAACAGGGCAGATGCTAATAAAAAGTAAGTATTTAGCTCTACGTACCACGCTGTACAAAACAGAAGTAGCAAGATGGTGCAGAATGCAGCAATTGACCCTAATATGACAACAGTCAAATGCTGGGGTGGGGATGATAAATCTGAAATGAAAAGGGGAAAATAACAACTAAACCTCAAGGAGACATTCATCAAGTGGTACAGCTTAGCCTTGTGTGAGTCATCCTCCGCCTTTCTGGAAATCTGCAGGTGAGAATCAAAGGTTGGAGGAGCAGGTACATAATTCTCACAAGATGCCAGTTTCCCCTTGCAAATATCTTCCTTTATCAGTCTTTAAATCAGAAAATGAAACGCCAGGAGAAAAAGCACAAGGGGGTGACATTTATAAGAGTGAATCAACAACTAAGGAAGGGATAAGAATCTTTCCTCACCCCATATAATACACATGCCCAGTGTGGAATACATCTCACCACACTAACACAGACATGCCACATAATCATAGGATGCCTACACCCTACACCACTGGAGAAATTATACTGTTTAGCTGATATCGCATCACCTGAAATCTCCCAGGGAGTAGCAGCCAGTAATGAAAGGACCAAGACAGTGACATCTCTGCCCCATTCCTTGTTCAGATATCAGCCAGCACGCTAATGCCTTAAATCAAGAAACATCTTTCTAAGATCTACAGAAATACTTGCAGGAATACCTCAGCATGCAAGAGTCCAAAAGTGGCAGGCTAAAACCCAGAAAATCAATCAGTGGTTGATAATGGATGAGACACTATATGGTTGACTTGGAAGCCATTGAACAGACTCCACTACAGCACCATGAGATGCAGAGCCAGTCTTAACAAATGGGGCTACAAAGTGGAGACATACGGGTGTCTCCACTTTGCAGTCTGGGGCTTGCCACATGCACAATGGAGGACCTTCTCACAGTGACACCTAGGCACTCCAAGTGGCCAGCTTCTGGTCAGAGAACATTTATTATAATTGTGTTTTTTATACATTATAATTGTATTCTCGATTCGCTTCTGACATGATAAATAAATAAATACCCATCATAGAATCATAGAATCGTAGAGTTGGAAGAGATCTCATGGGCCATCCAGTCCAACTCCATGCCAAGAAGCAGGAAAATTGCATTCAAAGCATCCCCGACAGATGGCCATCCAGCCTCTGCTTAAAAGCCTTCAAAGAAGGAGCCTCCACAGCACTCCACAGCAGAGAGTTCCACTGTTGAACAGCTTTCACAGTCAGGAAGTTCTTCCTAATTTTCAGATGAAATCTCTTTTCTTGTAGTTTGAAGCCATTGTTCTGCGTCCTAGTCTCCAGGGAAGCAGAAAACAAGCTTGCTCCCTCCTCCCTATGACTTCCTCTCACATACTTATAAGTGTCTCCTCTAAGCCTTCCCTTCTTCAGGCTAAACATATCCAGCTCTTTAAGCCGCTCCTCATAAGGCTTGTTCTCCAGACCCTTGATCATTTTAGTCGTCCTCCTCTGGACACAATCCAGCTTGTCAACATCTCCCTTCAATTGTGGTGCCAAGAATCACCACACACATGTCTTCACCAGCAGATACATGCTGCTTGTGACACTAATGTTTATGTCTACATAGTTCTGCTGCAACAAACAGGAAAAACCATGCACCCAGACGAAGGTCCCTTATGGAAAAGGACAATGAGAAATCTGAAATCCACTACTCTATGAACCTCTAGGTCCTCCAGTGCAATTCTATGGCCAACCTCTGGCAGAAGAAGTATTCTCTCGGATAAAATAATAACATTTCTTTAAAACTGCAGTATTTCCACTTTCACAGGGGCCCTTTGACCGTAACACCTGTAAATATTGACGGCTGATTGTACTCCAATATCCATAACTGTTAACATAAGTAACAAATATAGTGGCATTCTTGTTTTCTGATCGTTCAACACACACACACTTTGTTTCATGCACAAAAGCATTAAAATACTGTTAATAAAATTACGAGCTTCAGGCTATGTGTATATACGAAACATAAATTAACTTTTTTTTAGACTTGGGTAATACGTGCAATATATCTCCTTATGTATATGCAAGTATTCCAAATCCAAAATAATCCAAAAACACCAAATATTTTTGCCCCCAAGCATTTTGGAGAAGGGATAGTCAACCTATACTAAGGTTCCGGATCTGCAAAAATCACACCAAATCCTAGACAATAGGCATGAGCAAACTTCAGCCCTCCAGGTGTTTCGGACTTCAACTCTTACCATTCCTAACAGTCAGTAGGCTTTTAGGAATTGTGGGAGGTAAAGTCCCAAAAACCTGGATGGCTGAAGCTTGCCCATGCCTGCTATACAAGGTTTGCCATGCAAACGAAGACAATCCTACACTTGTTTGCTGACCACCATTGTGGGCAATGACCTGTGCTCAGAGAATTAATTCAGGGCTTGTCACTTGCGAACCTGTCTCATAACGATGACTTGGAGCAGACAAGAGTTTACCATGTTGATGAGACAAGCTAGCAATAAAGTCATCACGGTCTAAGAACAAGAGGGGGAAAATGACAATGTGCTATGTACTTTTGAACAAATATAGGTACAGTTCCCTTGAGGCAAAAGATAGCACTATTTATAAGCTCAAAATATATATAATCTAATGCGTATGACATCAGGAGGAAAAAAAGAATATAACATTTTGCTGAGTGCTTGGGCTTAATCATGGGGTTTGCAAGCTAGGCATTATGTTTGCTTTTCAACCATGACATCTGATGAAAGTCAGAGAGAAAGAGACACAAACAATGCCTGGAAACCCAGTATTGTTTGCAAGCTCAAAAGGTAGTGATAAATACAGCTACAAAGGAGCAGCTGTAGCATATCCTTGGCACGCTTTCTGCTGCATCTGGGTCCTCAATCAGGAATGGAGTCAGACCAGGGGACATCTTTTGCTCAACACACCAGCCAGGTGACTGACAACTTCAAGGCTTTGGTATTGCACCATCCAATGCAGAGATGCAAAAATCTACCCAAGAATTCAAATTTTTGGAGGTATACAGTACTACCATTGAAAAATATTAAGTGTTTTGCACTACTTTAAGAATATCAAACGTGTTTCAATCCGTGCCTTAAGCAGTTATATATTTAACTGCAACTAACACCTGGATCTAAGCACCACTACATCTAATGGAACATTCTTCTGAGAAGATATTATTATTGGGTTGCTGTGAGTTTTCCAGGCTGTATGGACAGTTTCCAGAAGCATTCTCTCCTGGCGTTAATAAAGGACAGTAAATAAAGAGCAACACTAAAAAAACAGGGGAATTCCAGACAAGAATAAATCAGGGCCAGTTAATACCTTCCAACAAAGGATCTCCCCAGTCAGCAATCAGCCAGACTTTGAAGCTACAAGACTATTAAATGCTAATCAAGGTGGCTAATTGCAACATTCATACTTGCTTCAAGCAGGCAAGAGTTCTTTCTTCCACCTTGGACATTCAACAGATATATAAACTCCATTTGTCTAGTTTCCAATAGACCTCACAACCTCTGGGAATGCTTACCATAGTTGTGGGCGAAATGTCAAACGAGAATGCTTCTGGAACATGACCATACAGCCTGGAAAACTCGGCCATGAAAGCCTTCGACAACACATTATCATCATCATCATCATCATCATCATCATCATCATCATCATCATCATTATTTGTACCTGGCTTTTTTCTTTTTAAAAAAAGAGACTCAATGTGACTCACAATAAAACCAATACAACACAATTTACTGTAAACCCTACAAATGTAAAAACATTAAAATCCACAAGGAAGTATAGGATTGCACTGTTACATAAAAATGCCCTTGGCTCATAATGCACAGTGTCAGGCCTTGCTGGTTTATTTTGTTAGATCAGTGGTTCCCAACTTTTTTTTTCACCAGGAACCACTTTGATCAGGGACCACTCTCCAACATTAGTACCAAAAGGGTTACGAATCAGTTTTTGGTCAACTTTAGATTCAGTTTGGTTATTTGGGGTGCTGATTCAGAAAATTGCATTGGATAGACCACATCAGCTCTAGTTTCTGATACAGAACATATGCCATCCAGTAGTCGCCATCTGCTCGCCCACAGAAAAAACATGTGCCGCACAAATACCTTGCCACACAAATACCTTTCCTTAATACTGCAGAAAAACATGGCCTCAGCTCAGTCTAAAAACACCAAAATGTTTTTTTTTTCCTTTTGGAAGTTCTCTCCCAACATTGTCATAAAATGCTGCTTGATTGCAGGATATGCTTTTATACACTGCTTTAAAAGTACTTCTATCACTCTTATCTTTCTTGCGGAAGGGGAAGGTCATCCTTTCAAGTTTTCATATCTCTAATGATGTTTGTTTCGTAATGTAAGCTATGAAATAAAATAGTTGCACACATTTCACTTCTTTTCTTTTATAGTTGAAGTAGCTAGCAGTCATAACCTTCCCCATCAGAGAAAACCTACCTTTTATTTGGGCCCAGGTCACGCAGGATTGTGTTCTCACCTGGAAAAACAAGAAGAGAAAACATAAGTCTGCACCACTGTTTTCCAAAGGGTCCTAGTTCTCCTTGGGTTCACATACAGCTACAACAGCCTAAATCCTAATTAGAGTAGGCCTACTAGGTCAGTTACTGGATCAGTTAAGTCAACACTTATCCCAATCTCATTGATTCAAGAATAAGACTCCATCTGAAAGCAGTTTTTTGGATCTAGGCCCATACGTGATTTGACAGTGGTGGCTAATATTGTTGAATGCTACTCCAAACAGAAAAAAGATCAAGGAGCTTAGCTTTCTATAATATCTTAGTTTTGTAGAATTAGGGCTTGCTGGCTTGCTTTGAGAGCATTCAGGATTATGAGCTCCTGTGTGTAGTTTAAAGTACTATAGTTCAGACATGGGTGCCAAAGTAATTTCACATTTTTTAAAATTTTGTGTCAAAGGTAAAGGTAAAGGTTTTCCCCTGACATTAAGTCCAGTTGGGTCCGACTCTGGAGGTTGATGCTCATCTCCATTTCTAAGCCAAAGAGCCAGCGTGACACCTCCAAAATCATGTAGCCAGCATGACTGCATGGAACGCCGTTACCTTCCTACTAGAGAACTGCTAGGTCAGCAGAAGCTGGGGCTGACAATAGAAGCTCGTGCCACTCCCCGAATTCGAACCTGCGACCTTTTGGTCAACAAGTTTAGCAGCTCAGCAGTTTAGCCCACTGCACCACTGTGTCAAAAGTACTGCATAAATAAATACGTTTAAAACTGATAAAATAAAGGGATCACGAGCAGCTAAATAGTTTTAGACCAAAAACAGGCAACAGCGACTGCATTGTCTGTAACTTACACCATCCAAACATCTTAACTCCAAAACACATGGAGGGCCGAAGTTTGTTAAGGTATACAGAAAACTGGGGGAGTTTTTGCAAGGATCAGCATCAAGGTTAAGGTAGATGTAAACAAAGAAAGGGTCCACATTAAGATGTGTTGCATGGGTTAACACATGCAAGTGATTTTTCTTGCTGTAATCAACAGGGTAACTACAGACGATTGAGTATACCATTCACAGCTCTTTACAAACTTCTGTTAAGGGTTTTGAGCTCTGGAAAGGACCATTTCTTTTGTGAGTCACTGAATTTAGCTATTTTTTGGGTTGTTGTAGGTTTTTCAGGCTGTATGGCCATGTTCTAGAAGCATTCTCTCCTGACGTTTTGCCTGCATCTATGGCAGGCATCCTCAGACCTCACAACCTCTGAGGATGCCTGCCATAGATGCAGGCAAAACGTCAGGAGAGAATGCTTCTAGAACATGGCCATACAGCCCAAAAACCTACAACCAGGTGATTCCAGCCATGAAAGCCTTCGACAATACATTAAGGGTAAAGGAGTTTTCCTTTTGCACAAACCTACTGCGGTCCTGGGGTTATTTTATTTTCAATGGCACTGGAGTTGGACTTTAAGTTTGGTGCTATAGAGGGACGGATTATTTTCTGGTGCTAAAGACAACAAAGTTTGCCTATGCCTGAGCCAGAGTTTCCCTGCAGCTCTGAAGCTCACCCACACTTTGTGGCAGTGTAAACAGTTAGGCCGGTTCGTATTTAGAACCAGCAACCACTGTTCACAAAATCAATCTCACTTCCCTGGGCTCAGGTGGCCCGGGAATAGTGGAGGTCCTTTGTCATCCCCCTCGTGTCCGTGGCTTAGTGGCAATTGCTGAGCCTGAAATTGCTGGTGTTCATCACTTGTCACCAGGAGCCCCTGGTGGCACAATGCGTTAAAACCCTTGTGCCGGAAGGACTACTGACCTGAAAGATCGCGGGTCAAATCTGGGGAGCAGGGTGAGCTCTCGTCTATCAGCTCCAGCTTCCCATGTGGGGACATGAGAGAAGCCTCCCACAGGATGGTAAAACATCTGGGTGTCCCCTGGGCAACGTCCTTGCAGACAGCCAATTCTCTCACATCAGAAATGACTTGCATATGGTCGACTTCAATGGGATTATCTTTGCAAGTAATAGGTTCATATTATTTATGGCTTATGCCCTGGCCTTGGTCCTTTAGGAAGCATAAGCTAGGATCTGAACCTATTGATGCTACAGCTATAGAAAACTTTAACATCTTCTTCAATCTAGAGGCACTCTGAAGAACACACTTCGTATCTGGCTGAAATGAAAGTGCCCTACATGAAAGTTGATCCTGACATGAAAGAAATCACTTGTCACATCTACTGATGTTGGCTGGACTGCCAGATCCATCAAATAAAGGAAGGGGGAAAGGCAGGAGCGATTCCTCTGGCACCCTGGCAAGCATCAATAGATTTGATGAGCGACAACCACTAGCTATTTCAAGCCCAGCAATTGCCGCTAAGCCAAGGACACCAAGGGGATGTTAAATGTGGCCATCCAGTGAGCTCTCATCCATCCACTGGGTGACTCGCAGTGTGGACACCCACCAGCCACCAAGTCAGTGCTAATCTAGAGTAGTCCACTCCAGATCATCTCTAACATATGCAGCCCATTTAGATAGGCCCAGAGGCATAGAATATGAAACAAAACAAATATAGGGTTGTTGTGAGTTTTTCGGGCTGTATGGCCATGTTCCAGTAGCATTCTCTCCTGATGTTTCACCTGAATCTGTGGCTGGAATCTTCAGAAGAGAATGCTGTTAGTACATGGCCATACAGCCCGAAAAACTCAGAGCAACACAGTGATTCCGGCCATGAAAGCCTTCGACAACACATAAAACAAATATACAAGACAAAGAACAGACAGAAAGCGAGGGGAGGAAAGAAGGATAATAGCAACCATCCTATTCCTTTTACCGAAGGGCAGTCGCCCATCCAAAACTGTTTTTGAAAGCCCTCTCCTTTTCATTAATGATTTTTCACGCCCATGCAGCTGGCTGTGTGAAACTTCAAAGTTTTCTCGAGCAAAAATAAGTAATTTCACAGTTCTCTGCTTCTAAACTCATGAAAGAATTAACACGGACAGCTAAATACAAAAATCTACTGAAGAATCTGGAATGCAATGAACAAGAAAGATGCTATATAATATTGAATTTACACAATAGATTTTTGGCAAAATATATACAGTACTGCCTATATTGGCCCAAGAGACATACACAAATGAATAAACAAAATTAAGGATGTTCATAAAATTCTCCTCAGACTTAGGAGTTAATTGATCTTCTTCCCAGAGCATCATCCATTTCTTTAGCAACCTGTCACTATTGTTGTTGTTGTTGTTTAATACAGGTGGAGTCTTCTGCAGTTTTCAATTTAGGCATCTCTTTTGTTACAGATTACTGAAGCACACCAGTGGAAGCATAGATTAATTAAGCAACAGAGCAAAAAGAAATCTTAATGCAATTGTTTAATCACATCAACATTCCCCTTTTCACTCTGTGATTCAAATCAATCTACACATGCCCTCGTGTGTATCACTGACATGCGAGGGAGAGAGGCAGAGATTAAAAAAGAAACAAGCGGCACCAAACCATGAACCCAGAAATTCTTCAAATTAAAACAAGGAAATCAAAAAATTGTTGTTATTTGTTGTTGTGTTGTTTTTTTTTTCATGCCAGGAGAAAGTTGCTTTTGGTGTGAAAGAATTGGCTGTGTGCAAGGACGCTGCCCAGGGACGCCTGGATGTTTTACCATCCTGTGGGAGGCTTCTCTCATGTCCCCGCATGGGAAGCTGGAGCTGACAGAAGGGAGCTCTCCTCACTCCCTGGATTTGAACCGCTAACCTTTCGGTCAGCAGTCCTGCTGGCACAAAGGTTTAACCCATTGCTGTGTGCCTTAAAGTAATTTCCAACCTATGGCGAACCTATCCCAAGTTTTCTTGGCAAGAAGAGACTTGCCACTGCTTTTCCTTTGAGGCTGAGAGAGTGTGGTTTGCCCAACTCTGAACTATGAAAAACTGCAGAATAAACTGAGTGTTTTGGGATGATGTGGCCAAGCCACTCCCACCACAGATGTAAGGCACTAGACTTCATCAAATAATTGTTTCAACATTACTCCCCCGGGGTTTCGGGACCCCAAATTGAGAATCACTGCTGTTTGGACCATTTATGTAGCTATGAATGCAATGCAGCATCTCAGCCAATATTTGCACAAAGATGGTGCTAGTCCCTAGCAAGCCGGGGAAGAAATTAATGGTTCACCATATCAGATAATGATCCATGCAGTCATGCTGGCCACATGACCTTGGAGGTGTCTATGGACAACACCGGCTCTTCAGCTTAGAAATGGAGATGAGCACACCCCCCCCCCCAGAGTCAGACTCAGTTAGACTTAATGTCAAGAGGGAACCTTTACCTTTACTATATCAGATTACATAAGAAGCACTAAGTGCCAAGATTTGTAAGAATGGGGACACTAAACCAGACTTATTGAGTTGTCTACATTCTTTTACTGCTTACTTTAGAAAATATATACACATATAGTCCGCTTATTCACTACCCCACAGAAATCAAAGCCACAAGCTGCCACATACTAAATGCCTTGTTCTACACAGCGGTGGTCTCTTCCACAGTACTTTCTTCTACTCCCTACCTACTGAAACACTTGTAAGTGAAAAGTGAGAGCATAACTGTCAAGAAAATAATGTCTTGGAATCCAGTGAAAAACTTTAAGAAAGAACCAGACAACAAGCAACTATTGTTCACTAAAGGTTTCTCTCTGTAAGTCTTGGATATGAATTGGGCTTGGTAGATGTGCTTGAGAGGATAATTTAGCTTAAAACCTTCCATTTTCCAATCCTATTTTAATGTATAACCTATATGTTCCCCCATCCCTCTCTCTCTCCCCTTTCATGTGATAAGGATTTCTGAATGTAGACTAAGCTTCCTTCAACTGCAGAGAGCGGGCAGCTTGAAAAGAATTTGGAAACCAGACATTTAAAGGAATGCAGGTTCTACCTTGACCCAGGGCAGACGGTAAATTTAAAGCTAGGGGATTAGGGGTTTTATGGTACTTTAGGAGCAACAAAGTCCTGTTTTACTGAAGTGAGTAATTCATTCAAGAATGATTCCCTGGAATTTGAACATAATACTGGACATTATAATATATAATAATAATAATAATATATTATTATTATATATCACTAGCCATCCCCTGCCACGCATTGCTGTGGCCCAGTCTGTGTATATGTGTTTTGTGTGTGTATAGTGTGTATACATGTGTGTATATATTTGTGTATATGTTTATATATTTGGTTTTGCGCATGTGTTGTAATGTATTTATATTTTTTGGCTTTTTAAGTCTCCTCTGCTGTGTTTTTCAGTGTTTTTATGAGTGATGGTCACTCGTTGGCCTGATAGGTGTATTGTGTCCAAATTTGGTCTCAATTCATCCAGTGGTTTTTGAGCTATGTTAATCCCACAAATGAATATTAAATTTTTATTTATATAGATAATATATTATGATATATTATAATTATAATATATATAATTATATATTATATAATATGTGTATAATATATAATATATATTATATAAACATAATATTATATTATATTATTATAATTAATTAATAAATACTGGACTTATCAATTTATTTAACTTATTTAACAATGTGTTAAATAAGTTAAATAAATATGTATATATATGCCTGACATATAGATATACATATACATATATACTAGTTTGGATACTCACAGTGCCCAGGGAAAAAACCTTGTTTGTTTTGGGGTGTGAGGTAATAACATTTAGTTAATTAGTAACACTATTCATTAGGAGAAATAATTTCATTTTTTATGAATGCTCTCATTAGAAAATACATAACGGTGTGGATGAACTACAATTCCCAGAATTGTGGGTCAAGCCTCCCCAAACCAGGCCTGTATGCACAGTTGGCAATGTTGGGTGTGTGTGCCAAGTTTGGTCCAGATCTGTTGTCCTCCAAGCCCTTCCAGTCTGTTCAGTTGCTGATCAATTCCTCTGTGTTTGTTGTGTGCGATAGGAAAGGGTAGGAAAAGGTACTGCCTGGAAAGGCAGTAGGCGAGGCCATGCAAATTCCACATGAGGAACCATGAGATGCTTGTCTGTGGTGAAGGAAACACATCAAATCTAGGATGAAATTCTCCCCGAATGAAAGCATTCCTTGGATGGTTGGCCCTAGTGTTCCTTTTCTTTTCTTTTGTAGCACAGATTAAAATCCCTCTATATAGTGGTGCATTAACATTCTTGTTTTAAATTTATTTGCATTGTCAGTTTGACTTTTTGGAAGCCACTCTGGGAACCTTTCGAAAGGCTGGGTTAAAAATGGAATAACGCAGGAATTGTAACATTTGCTCTTACCCCACTCCACTCACTGACAGTCCTCAGTATGACACAGTAGTTTTTCCCTTGTTTCAAGGGAGCGTTGTAATATTCCCCGTAGTAGAGCCTGTCTCCAAGGACAAACTTCAGCACTTCGTCATCCACGACCTGGGCTGGGAATTCGGCTGCCACGTAACCTTCTGAGTCAGTGCCTTTGCCAAAGTAGGTTAGACTAGTCAAGGAATAACAATTAAAACTGCACCGTGGGCTCCAAGGAATCACTATGGCTTGGTAAGAACTGGAAAGAGAGAGGGAAGCATTAAGTATTGTCAAAGGCGATTCATATTTCATTGTCTTTCTGATGTCTCTATAGATTCCCTTTGTTTAAAAGCCCTTGGTCATTATTAAATCATTCGCTATATTGTAGAGAGCAGCATAATCTGCAGTCCAAAATTATTATGCAATCTTCAGTAATGACAGTTTAAATATGCAGCCGAATTATCCAGACCCTTCAGTTCAAAGAAATACAAATATTTGCGAACTATAGGTAAAGCTATGGTGGACCAGATTAATATGGTCTCTCCAAGAATCTGGGTTGTTGTGAGTTTTCCAGGCAGTATGGCTATGTCCCAGAGCATTCTCTCCTGACGTTTTACCCACATCTATGGCAGGCATCCTCAGAGATTGTGAGGCCTGTTGGAAACTAGGCAAGTGGGGTTTATATATCTGTGGAATGTCCAGGGTGGGATAAATAAATCTTGTTTGTTGGAGGCAAGTGTGAATGATTGCAATTGACCCCTTGATTAGCACTGAATGGCCTTGTAGCTTCAAAACCTAGCTGGTTCCTGCGTCTGTTGGGAGGTGTTAGCTGGCCCGATTGAATATTGTCTGGAATTCCCAAATTTTGAGTGTTGCTCTTTATTTACTGTCCTGATTTTAGAGTTTTTTTTAATACTAGTAGCTAGATCTTGTTTATTTTCATGAACGCCTCCCAAGAAAGGATCCCCGGGCAGTAATCAGTCAGGCTTTGAAACTGAAAGACCATTAAATGCTAATCAAGGTGATCAATTGCAACATGCACACTTGCCTCAAGCAGACAAGAGTCCTTTCTCCCACCCTGGACATAGGGTTCTGTAGGATTCTATCATGGCGGTTAAAGTACTCCCGAAATGACTCTTTGTAGACAGATTGATAGCCAATGTCAGTTGGATCCATGCTTGGAAAACACTCTGATTCTGTACAGACAAGAGTTTTTTCTCCCACCCTGGATATTCCACAGGTATATAAACCCTACTTGCCTAGTTTCCAACTGACCTCACAACCTCTGAGGATGCCTGCCATAGATGCAGGCAGAAACGTCAAGAGAGTATGCTTCTGGAGCATGGCCCCATACAGCCATGTGATTCCAGCCATGAAAGTCTTCAACAACACTCTCCAAGAATCTCTAGGGCTGGATCTACACTGCAATATAATCCAGTTTCAGAATGCTGATTTACTACATTGGATTGTATGGCAGTGTTGATCCAGCCTTGGCCTTCCACAATCAACACTATATGGAGTCATACTAGACGACCTAAAATGGGATTATTTTTTCATCTGTGGGGGGTCCTGCTCCCCCAACCCTAGAGAATGTAGAGGAAAGACTGCGTTTAGTTATTGTGACTAATAGGATCAAAAAGCCCAATCCCCTTTCAAACCATCAAGGAATTGTAATACCTCTTTATTAGTTATAGACATGAAGCTATGGAAAGAGCAGGAAGCCAATTACTATTATTAGCAGTCGACCCTAAGTGCAATATAGTGCTTTCAGCTCTATATGCAAATGGCAGAATCGTGCTTCTGAGGAAGGAAGAACTCCAGGAAACCATTAAAGTAAATATTAAACTAGAACACTAACTTTTTAAAGGCTTCTAGCCCATTAGACTTTTATATTATGCAACCGTAGGTGGTGGAAACCATAATGATAGCTGATTGATAGCAATTTGGTTGCCATCAGAATTGTGGGATTTGTCATACAATGAGGGAGTATTCAAGACGTCTCTCCTAGAGAGGGTTCTAGTCCGCTAACGGATTTACATTATTGCAATTATCTAGCAGTGAAATCTAAATACCTCACCAAATTAAAAATCCGAATATTCCATATTATTAGAGTATGGCACATAAAGTGGTATAAAACTCCATAACTATGGGTGCATCTACACTGTGGAATTAATGTAGTTTGACACCACTTTAACTGCTATGGCTCAGTTCTATGTTATCATGGGAGGGGAGTTTTACAAGGTCTTAGGGCCCTTCCCCACAGCCCTATATCCCAGAATATCAAGGCAGAAAATCCAACAATATCTGCTTTGAACTGGGTTATCTGAATCCACACTGCCACACTATAACATTGTAGCGCTATCTTGCATTTTAATAGTCATCCTACAGAAACCTCGGTTTGTGGTTTGATGAGTCAATAAGGAGATATCTGGGTGGAAATGTTAAATCCTCCTCAATCCCAGGAATCTACAGAATAGCAATGGAACAAAAGTGTTATAATTGTGTAGCATGAAAGAATTCACCTAGTAGTCTATGGACCCTTCCACACAGCCCTATATCCCAGAATATCAAGGCAGAAAATCCCACAATATCTGCTTTGAATTGGGTTATCTGAGTCCACGCTGCCATATATTCCAGTTCAAAGCAAGTAATGTGGGTTTTGTTCCTGGATTATAAATGTCATTTCCTAATTGGTTCTATCATAAAAAGAGTTTATTAAACTGCAAAAACTGTTTTTGCAGGACACTATGCAGCACATTTTGCTATAGCTTTCCAATGAACATCTCATAGAATCTCAACTAATTCAACATAGTTTGTGGAAGCCACAAAAATGAAGTTTCTGGAGTATAACAACTACTTTCAAAGCAAGTACCACACAACTAAACAGGAAATAACACTTTCAAACCAGGAACAGGTTTTATTTCAAATTTTGTCACATAGTGTTATTATTTCAGGCTGATCTTTACCTTTTGAAGGGAAAGGATTTTGGGGGACCATGTGGCCAAGGCCATTTGTGAATTAGATGACTCTTTCTGCCTAATCCAAAAGCAAGATAATGCAACACAGCAGCTCAAATATCCCATGATATCCCTGACCCATCCTAATGAAGTCATGAGAATGTTTGCTTATTATGGTAAATGAAGAATACAAGTATTACGGAGGGCAGCTATGAAGCTGAGCAGTGTAACTTCTCTTTGGGTTAACTCAGGAAGGATGCAAGGGCATGAACTTCCCTTTGTATCACAGGATTCTGTATTTTGAGAAATCACTCAACCAAAGGCATCCATAAGGCACAATCTATATGCAATAGGAAGTAAATCCAAATATGTAAACAATAACGCCTCTTGATTGACAAGAACATTGGAAAGAGCAAAATCATCTAGATAAACATGAAATATATCAAGAGTGATTCCTAAGTGTTCTTGAGTGCACAAAACACAACATAGCACATTAAATCTACCTTATGGGTCCATTTCTTTCTTCTGCTTTCCTCAGATGTAACAGTGGTGGAGAACCTTGGACTGACATGAATTCTATTTCTGGCGATTGTGGGTCTAAAAAGCAAGCCACACATTGTTGTCATTACTACACTGTTTGTTTATTCGTTTTTTAAGGAATGTTTATTCTCCCTCAAACAGAAAGTAAAGTAATTTACAAAGGGAACAAATCAAATCTACAAAAAGAGCTGTAAGTAAAAGAAGAAAAATCCAAAAACTACAACACTATAAAGATATCCAAATCGGAGGGGTCTTCAAAAAGTTTCTGCATTTTTATATTTTCATTGGAAACAGTGAGAGTGGGAAGAAATGAAATGAAACTTTATTTATAGACCGCCCTATCTCACTAAAGGGATACAGGGTGGCTCACAACAAAATACACAATGGCAAACATTCAATGGTGACAGTAAGATGTAAACAAATCAATAAACAAATTAAGAATAATCCCAAAAAATTATATATGGACATAAATAAATAAGACATAAAACAATCCACATCCTTAAAATATCATTTAAAATCTCTAAAATTAGGCTAAATTTATTGGGGGAGAGATGGAAAACAGCCATTTAACTGGGTGGATGTTAGAGGAGTTATTGGTTGTGTCTCATATTCTGTCTGATAAGTGAGTTGAGCTTGCAGTTTAGTATAAGAGTGGTCACGGTGCTTGCTCGTAAAGCCAGGTTTTAACTTTTTTTTGCAAAATGTTAAGAGGGAGGGGGCCGATCTAATGTCCCTGGGAAGGGCGTTCCACAGCCGAGGGGCCACCACTGAGAAGGCCCTGTCTTTTGCCCATTTCTAGGGTCCACGGACACCACAAGGCCTCCTAAGAAATTGAAAAACTAGCATGCTGATGAAAATGATGCCTTACTGCCACTTGGCCAACCTGCAAGCCTTAAAATGGGTTCACTGGTGAGCTGGGGAACCATTTAATCTTTCCCCACCCTAACATCTCCCCTCCCCCTCTCCTACTCCCGTATGCAACTCTTCACACCTCTAGTTGCCTTACCCTGGTCCCATGACAACTTTTGCTTCCAAGTAGAATGGTTTGCAGATTTATCTTTTTAGAAAAAGCCAGGTTAAAACTAGAAGTCATAAAACACACTGAATAAATGATACTTTCCCATGGTAATTTAAAAAGCCACGGGGACATGTATCTTTGAGGATGATCACACCATGTGGCAAATGGCCACAAGAGCCAGGAAGCCCTCAAAGAAATGTGACAAGTCATCAAAGGACCTAGGGTATGACTTCTGCAGATCACAAGGAGGATATCCTCCCACCATACCCCTATGATTCCTGACTTATCCCTTGTTGTTTTTTTTAATATTGTGACCTAAATAAAAATTTTCTAGCAAATAATTTGTGTAACAGATGATGCAATTATTAAATCCTTTGGCAGTAGAAACAATGGGCTTGATCAAGGAAAAAATATACGTAATGGGACTAGCAGAAGCAGAACTTCTTGCCTTTCTGTCCTCTGATCTGATCTCCTTTGTGCAAGGAAAAGGCCCCACCCAGGGTCACCTGCATTGATCAGAGGGACACTCCTCAAAAAGATCAGGTGGGCATTTTTGTCTTCACCCAGCCCTTCAACAGTGCTCTTCAGGACCCTACTCTATGCAAACAGGTCTCTACACTAGAGGATAAATGGAAATAAATCAGCCATTAGGAATAGAAATACACAAAACCATTTCCAGAACAATCTCAAAACTACAAGATTCAGAAGAGAAACAGCTGAACCAAAGTACATCCTAAAACTCCAAATTGTAAGTGGTAGGTTGAACAGAGACAATGGCTTCCTGGCACACTACACAGATTATAACACTCATTAATACCCCAGTCCCATGAGGTATTCTTGGCCAGTTTATCACATCTCCTTACTGGTTAACAGCCAATCTTTCACTACATTTCAGAACTTCTTTCACTACTCACGTAGTCATCTATTGACCCCAGCAACATCTTTCCTCCAGTCTTTGTCCCTCAAGAATCACCTTTAAAACCTATCAACAGGTTTTCACATTTCTATGGCTACTCATACAGCCTGATTATAATTCAGTTCCTAGGCACCAATTCACTCCATGCGTGTGAGGAAGTAGACTATGTCTATGACAGCTTATCTTCAAATTCCCTTGCTTAGGGTAGCATCAAAGATGCTACCAAGTCCCTTTGCATACTGAAATTATAGACCAGTGGTTCCCAACCTTTTTTGACCAGGGACCACTTTGACCAGGGACCACTCTCCAACATTAGTACCAAAAGGGTTATGAATCAGTTTTTGGTCAACTTTAGATTCAGTTTGGTTATTTGGGGTGCAGATTCAGAAAACTGCATTGGATAGACCACATCAGCTCTAGTTTCTGATACAGAACATATGCCATCCACTAGTTGCCATCTGCTCACCCACAGAAACCATGGTTCCCAACCTGTGGTCCATGGACCATCAGTGGTCTGCAAGAACTAAAATATGGTCTGCAGCTTCACCGTTACTACACTGTTGCAATGAGAGTGACTGGTCTACGTGAAAATATGGTTTATAGAGTAACATCACTATGTCTCGGATTTTATTGTACTGAGACTAAGATGGAGAAATGGTTGTCTGAACATAGGGCTTGCCATATGCAATTTGTAACACATACCCGGATGAAATTTATTAATTCTTTTCTTGCTTGGAATCACAGTGTTTTCAAAGCATGGATCCAACTAACACTTCCTATCAGTCTATCCACAAAGAGTCATTTCGGGAACACTTTAACCACCATGGCTGAATCCTACAGAACCCTAGGATTAATGGTTTGGAGAGGGGTTTGGGGAGGGGTTTGGGGACTTCTCCGCCAGAGCATTCCTCTAATGCCTCATCAGACTACAAACCAAGGGTTTCATATGATGTTGACACATCAATGACCACTACAACTGCACAATATGAAAGGGCCCCTGATCTCTGAGATTTGTTCCATTCTAAAACTATCTATATTTCCTCTCTGCAAACAAAGCAAATTATTTTCTCTTTCTTAACCTCATCAACTGTCAAAAGCGCAAATTAAGCAACCCCAGGCTGTTTGAAGTGGTAAGCATGCAACGGGAGGCCTACCCAATGTAGATGAAAGGAAGCTGAAGTGGTAAAGAAGGGTGAAACCCTCTTTCTCAGTTCCTGCGGCTAGTCCATGCAAAACCGCCTCTACACAATGCTGTGTCCATCTTATTGATTAAACTGGATACCAAGGCTTTCTTGGAGGAATTTGGAGTAAATGTAACCTTCATTTTACCAAGAGAAAACTCTAAAAATCAAATCGAGTGACAACTTACATTTGTAACTAACCTACCAATAGGCATTTTTGTTTGTTAACTGTCAAGTCAATTGCAATTTAAATCTCTTAGAAGAGACAGCAACCTCTGAACTTGTTCTTGTTACTCTCTTGTCCAAAAGAGGAAAAAATGGCTTAGATAGAGAGTGATTGGGATCTTTTGCCTTCGTTTGCTGCTTGTTTTTGTTTCCTCTGGCAGCCTATCTCAAAAGCATCATGAGAAAATTAAAATTGTCTGGAACAGTCAAGGTTAATTAAGTAAGGCCCTCATGGTGTAGTGGTCTGAGCATTAATAAAGGTAAAGGTAAAGGTTTCTTCTCGACATTAAGTCTAGTTGAGTCCGACTCTGGGGGTTGGTGTTCATTTCCATTTCTAAGCCGAAGAGCCGGTGTTGTTCGTAGACACCTCCAAGGTCATGTGGCTAGCATGACTGCATGGATTGTTGTTACTTTCCCGCTGAAGCGGTACCTCTACGTGATGTAACTTTGTCACTTCCCCCCACAGTTCTTATGAGAAGAGTGCTAAAGAGAGCAAAAGGCTGGAAAACAAAAGTACATCCATTTCCCTTAGACACATGGTGTTTAAACTCAGGATAAAGGATGGCTATGATTCATTTGCAGCATTGTAATACAAGATAAGGTTTCCCCTTGACATTAAGTCTAGTCGTGTCCGACTCTGGGGTTGGTGCTCATCTTCATTTCTAAGCTGAAGAGCTGGCGCTGTCCGTAGACGCCTCCTAGGTTATGTGACAAAACTGCATGATGTGCCATTACCTTCCCACTGAAGCAGTACCTATTGATCTACTCAAATTTGCATGTTTTCGAACTGCTAGGTTGGCAGAAACTGGGCCTAACAGTGGGAGCTCACCCCACTCCCCAGATTTGAACCGCCAAACTTTTGGTCGGCAAGTTCAGCAGCTCAGCGGTTTAACCCATTGCGCAACCAAGGGGCCCTCCTACAAACAGTAGACCTCCAAAATTTCAGTACATTGACAGGTCTTACAAACTCAGGGCTACGGTTTTCCTGCTGCCTTCCACTTTAAAGGTAAAGGTAGTCCCCTGACATTAAGTCCAGTCATGTCTGACTCTGGGGTGTGGTGCTCATCTCCATTTCTAAGCCGAAGAGCCAGCGTTGTCCGTAGACACCTCCAAGGTCATATGGCCAGCATGACTGCATGGAGCGCCGTTACCTTCCCGCCAGAGCGGTACCTATTAATCTACTCACATTTGCATGTTTTTGAACTGCTAGGTTGGCAGAAGCTAGGGCTAACAGCGGAAACTCACGCCGCTCCCCAGAATCGAACCTGCGACCTTTCGATCAACAAGCTCAGCAGCTCAGTGCTTTAACCCACTGCGCCACCGGGGGCCTTCCACTTTACCAAACATTATTTCTTTTCCAGTGAGTCATGTCATCTCACGGTAGGGCATAATCTAGGTAGGATTGATGTTGGATTTTGAAATATAATTTTGCTCTTATTTCAAGTCACAAACCAGTACATTACATTCTAAAAATAACAGCGTATGCTCTCATCTGAACTAAGAAGATGGAGACACCAGGTATTTAAACACCGAAGCGGAGACAGGCAGCCTTAAGGAGGCTGCCTGTTCATGAGATGCCAAAGGAACTGAATTGACTGGGCAGCCTGTATTCTCGTCCTTCAGTACGCTTTCATTTTTTGTTGTCTTCCGGGGACTGTAAACATTGGGCCCGGAAAATAGTCGGGTGTGGAAAACAGAGAGAAACATCAAGCATCTGGCAGGATACAATATGTAACTGACGAGGAGCACTTTGGCATTGATGAGTCACAGATCATTCAGGCTTGGACAGATGAATAATTTAGCAGAATACTATAGTAGCGGGTCAGATGGTGGCAGACAAGAACAATAGCAGCCTCTTCAGTGAGCTATTTTAAAATGCAAGAGTTATCTGCTATATCTGGCAAAGAGAAAACAGCATGATCCATCCGACGGACGGTGCCGTGGAAGCTGAGAAGTGTAACCACGGTTAAGTTCAACCACAGATAGGAACAGGCTTGCAACAACTAAAGCCCTAAATCCAACTGAATGCCTGGAGTAATTGCTGCCAAGTTGGGAAGTCACTTATGTCCATCTCACTGATGCAAGGAATCTACTTCAATTGGGGCCAGCCAATGGAATGCAGCCAAAGTTATTAAAGGGGCCATAAAAATCACTCTGGCGTTTCTTCATAGGAAAAAGGAAACAACTCTGAAGACGCTGAACCACATTTATCTGCTGAAGATAAACAGCTTCATCTAGTGGGGGGAAAACAGAAGAGTTTTGGAAAGACTGCCTTCTATGTTGGAAAACTGCTGCGAAAGCAAACAAGTTTGCTTCAGTTCACAGGGCCAGAGAAATAAACCAAAGTTACTCAACCACAAACAGTGTGGAACACTTTACAGGCATTAAAGAAGCTGAAACACAATTTTTAAACTTCCTTTTTTCTCAGCTCCTCCTCTCCTTTCTGCAGGATTAGATACTTCCTAAATTATAGTAAGACTTCAAAAATAGCATTATTATGAAAACCAACAAAATCTGGCCAGCAATATTTTAAAAAACTCTAGGACAGTAAATAAAGAGCAACACTCAGAAAACAGGGGAATTCCAGACATGAAACAATTATGGCCAGCTAACACCTCCCATTGCCCCCAGTGGTGCAATGGGTTAAACCAGGGGTCCTCAAACTAAGGCCCGAGGGCCAGATAGGGCCCTCCCAGCTCATTTACCCGGCCCTCGCTCAGGGTCAACCTAAGTCTGAAATGACTTGAAAGAACAAAAACAGCAACAACACTCCTATCTCATCAGGCAAAAGCAGGCCCACACTTCCCACTGAAATACTAATAAGTTTATATTTGCTCAAATTGTTCTTCATTTTAATTGTTGTATTGTTTTTAAGTGTTTTTTGCACTACAAATAAGATATGTGCAGTGTGCATAGGAATCCATTAATGCTTTTTTCAAATTATAATCCGGCCCTCCAACAGTTCAAGGGACTGTGACCTGGCCCTCTGTTTAAAAAGTTTGAGGACCCCTGGGTTAAACCCTTGTGCTGGCAGGACTGGAAACCAACAGGATGGAGGTTCAAATCCAGGGAAAGTATGTTGAGTTCCCTCTGTTATCTCCAGCTCACCATGCAGGGACATGAGAGAAGCCTCCCACAAGGATGGTAAAACATCAAAACATCCAGGCGTCCCCTGGGTAACGTCCTTGCAGACAGCCAATTCTCTCACACCAGAAGTGACTTGCAGTTTCTCAAGTCGCTCCTGACACAAAAAAAAATGCATTAATTGAGGCATCAGTAGGTTAAATGTTTTTGAATATTTATCGTATTTGAAGCTACAAGGCCATTCAATGCTAATCAATGTGGCCAATTGCAACATTCACACTTGCCTCGAGCAGACAAGAGTTCTTTCTCTCATGATCTACTCCTATTTGCATGTTTTCAAACTGCTAGGTTGGCAGAAGCTGGGGCTAACAGTGGGAGCTCTCCTCGCTCCTTGGATCCAAATCGCCAACCTTTCAGTCAGCACGTTCAGCAGCTCAGCGCTTTAACCCGCTGCACCACCAGGAGGCCTTCAGGTTAACATAGTTACATTTATATAGTCTTACAATTACAACCAGCCTTTTGAAGGTAACCATAAGGCTGGTGTGGCTCTTGATGAAAATGAGTTTGACACCCCCGCTTTAGGGTATTAGATTCGCTTATTGTTGTGATAAGTCAGAAACGACTTGAAGGCACATAAAAGGAAGAACTTCCCAATGATCTACGGAAAGAATTGAGAAAGCATTTAGATATTCTCGATCATCTCTGGCTCCAACTCTGAAGTCTGACCTTATTAGAAGTGCAAAGCAAGGCCTACCAGTGATCTGGGTTGTCATGTAGACTAGGACTCTGTGATCCAGATTTGCTGTGGAGATGTTGACAGTGTAATTGCTCCCTGGAGGCAAACGAAGGCACACTTCTGGTGTCGGAGAATTTGTGGTGAAATTAAGAGTCATCGTATGACAGAATTGTTTCTGATACCAGCGCAGCCCTTGTATGTGAAACTGTTAAGGAAATGTGCAAAAAAGGTATACATTAAAAACTTTAATTAATCACATAGTGCTGGGGGGACGGGGGACTTTAATGCAAACTCCCAACTGAAGGGAGTGAAAAAACCCATATATCCTGCTTATTTTATTTGCATAAGTATCCCCTAAGAAGGTATCTACATTGTAGAATTAATGCAGTTTGACACCGCTTTAACTGCCATGCCTCAATGCCATGAAACCATTTATTTACCGGCTGTTAGGAATTGTGGGAGCTGAAGTCCAAAATACCTGGAGGGCCGAAGTTTGCCCATGCCTGATTTAGTGTTACTGAGCCTCACAATTCATACACAACACACACAAAGTCATATGTTGACTTTATGAGTTGATCAAACTGGTCTGAATGGTGGTTGAGGGACAACTCTCCTGCTTGCTTCAAATACTAGCTGTATTTGTGGCCACTGAAGCTGTTTCTTCACATTTTGGGAACTTTTGATGCATTTTCCAGGCACAAAATGACTGACAATTACATCAAAATGGGCAGGACTTGTGTAGGACTTCCAAGAGCTCCCCAAATGGGGTCCATGGGCTGCACTTTCCCCATACCTCCCCTAGATCTATAGTTCTGGCACATAATGAGAGTATGAAAATATTCAAGTATCATAGGGCAACCTACTTTATAATACTTCACAATAGTCCACAAAATGCAAACACAATGTTCCCAACAAAAAAATATAGACATTTATTTGCAAATCAATTTTGTTACTTGCATTCTGCTTGCTGCTGCTGTTTATGTTTATGGCCAAGTGACATGTAGCATCCTTCTGCCCAGTGCTGTCTCTAATCAAATATATTTTATTACACTAGCCAACACACATTTGGTGCCTCAAATGTTAACCCTGTTTCTGAGTATATTTGACCTGCCGAGTCCAAAAATGGCACCAGTTTTCCCCTACCACATCTAGCTTTTGAGGTATAGAACATAGGCCGCCATCTGCTCAACCATAGAAAACCATAATACAAGGGTTGAATAAAAAGTAATGCCTCCACCTTCATAACTCCTCAACAGATGGCAGTACTGGTATGCAGCACGTACTGACTTTTTCAGTAGACTCTCCTCTACAGTTCTGTTTTGGCAGGAAGCCTTATCTTTGAACAGTTGTGTTGTGAAAGTGTGAAGTATGGAAACCTGCACAGATGCAACTTAAGCAATGTGCAATCATTGAATTCTTGACAGCAGAAGGTGTCACCTCAACATCTTTAAACTTACTCGCCCAATGACGCACAGTACTCACATCAACACAATCACCATAAACAGCTTGCATTGTCTGATGAATCTCCTTTGGGGTGACACCTTCTGCTGTCAAGAATTCAATGACTGCATGCTGCTTAAGACGCATTGACCAACCATCTGTGCAGGGTTCCATACTTCGCACTTTAACAATATAACCGACCGATGCTAAGGCTTCCTGCCAAAATGGAACTGTAGAGGAGAATCTACTGAACAAGCCAGTACCTCCTGCATACCAGTACTGCCATTTGTTGAAGAGTTATGAAGGTGGAGGCATTACTTTTCATTCAACCCTCGAACCATATCTAAGAAACTAGGCGCCCCTGGTGGTGCAGTGGGTTAAAGTGCTGAGCTGTTGAGCTTGTTGACTGAAAGGTTGCAGGTTCGAATCCGGAGAGCGGCGTGAGCTTCCGCTGTTAGCCCCAGCTTCCGCCAATCTAGCAGTTCGAAAACATGCAAATGTGAGTAGATCAATAGGTACCGCTCTGACAGGAAGATTACGGCACTCCATGCAGTCATGCCGGCCACATGACCTTGGAGGTGTCTATGGACAATGCTGGCTCTTCGGCTTAGAAATAGAGATGAGCACCACCACCCCAGAGTCGGACACAACTGGACTTAATGTCAGGGGAAAACCTTTACCTTTACCTAAGAAACTAGAGCTGGTGTTGCAATTTTCTAAATCAGCACTGCAAATAACCCCAGAAATTGGCCTTATAAACAAGAGACCAAGAAAAAAATGGGATGTCTTTCCAAAGTCTGTAATATATATATAGCAGTAGACATAATGAGATAACATAAATATCTCTAGACACAATGCTTCCTTTGTGTTGCTGTTAAATAAAGTCTGTCTTTGGGTCTTGGTTTCAATACTTCCCCCAGTTCTCAGAAACCAGACCTTACTTACTATATAGGTTTCCTCAGACTGTGCTCTTCCTGTTGCTCTGGTCCATTTAACACATGTGTCATTAAATACAGAGATGTTGCTGAATACAACTTTCTTTTCTGGAAAGAAAAATAAAAAGTAAAATAATTCAGCAAGGATGGCGGGAGAGGGACGAGATAATAGATTGAACTAGACCTTCTCCTTGGTCACCTCAATTTTCAAGAGTAAGTTAAAGCTTCAAAAGAGGACAAATTCCAGTTCATGTAAAGCAGTGTTTCTCAACCTTCCTAATGGGTTTTGTGTGTTGGTGTTTTAATCAGCCTTTCTATGTGGTCGCTTTGAGTGTTTTACAGCAGTCTGTCTCAGAAGCCATCGTCAAATTAACGCATATTATTTTTATTTTAATATGTAAGCAAAGACTGTTTTTGGCACATCAATCAACAACTGTAGGAGACTTATTTTGCTTTCCAGGTGTACAAATTTACAAATCAAATTATCAACATTTTCTAGACACATCAAACCTACCAACTACTGGTTGCATTATTCTGACTGTTAAATTCCATTTGGCGGATTTTGCATAGATTTTCACAGTGTAATTTGCATCCTGATGCAGCTCCAAACACACCTTTACGGTTTCATCAGTTGCAGGAGGGACAATCAACATATCTGTTGTTTTGTTTAACCCATTCCCCAGAGTCCTCATAGTAAGCTGCAGAGGAAATAGAAAGGAAGGCGGTTTTCAAAAGTAAGACTTAGGAGATATTTACAATTTAAATCGGTTTTATAATTTTGGAGATTATAGTTCTGGAAGCTGGAACTATGGGGTGCTTAATAGAGAACAGCCAACAACCTCACCCTGTGGATTTGCAGCATATGTAGTGGATGAATGAATAATGTGACATTTCCCCAAAACAAGTTTGGAACCCATGTAGAATAGACCTCAGATGGGAAAAACTTTGGTTTCCATATGTTTTGGATTCTGAATCTCATAATTGATTGCTACTGGTCATGTTAGAGCAAGTGGAAGTTATACATCCTATCTCAGATGTTTTGGACAATAATAATAATGATAATAATAATAATAATAATAATAATAATAATAATAATAATAATAATACACTTTATATTCCGCCCTTCTCCCCTAGGGGACTTAGAGCGGATTAGAGCATTTACATACATAGGCAAACATTCAATGACCTTACAATCATAATCAATGAGACAAACACGAACAAAGGCAGAGGCTTCTCCTTTCATTTCCGGCTTCTAGAGGCAGTTCTCATCTCTGACTCTGGGAAGGCGCTTTCTCCTTTTTCAAGCCAAAGATCCTGCAATATCACCTCCTGGTTGTGTGGAGCATCTCTTTGCTTTTTCCTGCTGAAGCAGTACCTATTTATCTACTCACCTTTGCATGTTTTCCAACTGGCAGGAGTTGGAGCTGACAGACAGGAGCTCACCCCGTCTCATGGATTCAAACTGCTAATCTTCAGGTCAACAATTCAGCAGCACAAGGGTTTAACCCATTGCGCCGCTGTGGCTCCTATGAATCTCATAATCACTTGCTACTGGTTAAGTTGGATGGGGCAGGTGGAAGCTCTTGGCTAATATCCATGTTCATCACTCCTAGCATAGATACACCCTCAGAATTCCTTGAGAGGGTAAAAAATACTTCTAAGATATTAGATCTGTATTAATGATAGGTTGCTTGGAGCTAGCTGCCCATAAAGGATCTTTGATCAATCATGACACAAGAGCTCATCCGAATGACATAAGCTGGCTGTATGAATTCCTACATTGCATCCTCTAGGACAGTGGTTCTCAACCTGTGGGTCCCCAGATGTTTTAGCCTTCAACACCCAGAAATCCTAACAGCTGGTAAACTGAGTGGGATTTCTGGGAGTTGTAGGCCAAAACACCTGGGGACCCACAGGTTGAGAACCACTGCTCTAGGAGAAATCTTTGCCATTCAAGATTTGACATTTCCTAGAAATTATGCTTCATATTTTAACAGATATTTGCATATTCCCTCGTGCATAGAGCCATCTGCTGGCCTCAAGCAGAAAGCCAAGGAGCTCTCAGCTATATAAATAAAAATGTAATGTTCGTTTGTGGGATTAACAGAACTCAAAAACCACTGGACGAATTGACACCAAAATTGGACACAAGACACATAACAACCCAATCTATGTCCTTCACTCAAAAAAAAAAAGATTTTGTCATTTGGGAGTTGTAGTTGCTGGGATTTATAGTTCACCTACAATCAAAGACCATTCTGAACTCAACCAATGATGGAATTGAATCAAATTTGGCACACAGGACTCCCATGACCAACAGAAAACACTAGAAGGGTTTGGTGGGCATTGATGTTGAGTTTGGGAGTTGTAGTTCACCTACATCCAGAGAACAATGTGGACACAAACAATGATGGAACTGGACCAAACTCTACACAAATACTCAATATGCCCAAATGTGAACACTAGTGGAGTTTGGGAAAAATAGAATCTTGACATTTGGGAGTTGCAGTTGCTGGGATTTATAGTTCACCTAGAATCACAGAGCATTCTGAACCCCACCAACAATAGAATTGGGCCAAACCTCCCACACAGAACCCCCATGACCACCAGGAGACGACTAGTTGTTCTAATATAGAAGACCTGAAATGCCTTACGCACTTGATAGGTTTCATTCACTCCCCCATTTCCATAATGCCTCTTCCATGACAAACAAGAGCCATTGATGTTAACATCAGCAAACGCCTGGACTTCTGCAAAAACAACAGAGAGAGACACAAATGTTTTCTGGATTCAGAATTATACAACTGCAGAAATGGAAAGGAAATGAAGTATAGGGCCGAGCTGGTTATGGGGCTACATAACCTTGCAGTATACCTCAGGGCTGTCAATGCTCCCAAACTGCTAGGCATATAGGGCAGGTTTTGCCATGTTCTTGGGCTCGTCTGGTTGCCCATTTTAGATTTGGGAAATATAATTTTAAAGATAGAAAATAACTAGAAATCACTTCCCTTTAAAAAAAAAAACCCTCTTGGGTTAGACCGGCTGGAACTGAGAATCAAAACTATGGCCCCTAGATGGTGCTTGAGGGTATTTGCGGGGCATTTGTGGATATGCAACCTGCATCTTAGTTTGCAGGCCAAAAATAAATAATGATGTAAAATAAATATTTTTGCATAACAGACAGTATATTTTGTGCAAAATGTTCTGTTTTGTTCAAAATTAGAACAGTATAAGGCTCTTTTTTCCCCAAAAGAAGTTTTTAAAGTATTAAAAATTACCAAGAAACCTGTTAAAACTCTTCTAATCTTACCCTCTAGGTAGGGAATATTTCAGCAAATATTTAATTCTGCATTCAACAACAAAACAGCCAAAGATGTCTATTGATACAGTAGGCCTTCCCCATTTGCGGGTATTACTTTTGCAATTTGATTAATATATTCTTTCTAGAAATCTCTACATTTTCCAGCATAACTCAATGGACAACTTCTGCCAGAAGTTAGCCACAGACTTGTACTGGAGGACTTAGAAATTTTCAGAGATAACACTTTCTCTAGGCATTTGTAGATCCTCCAGTGCAATTCAATGGTCAGAGTCCATGGAAGTTGACCTTATTGCTGTGCTAAGGTGTGCTCTCATGTCAGAAAAGGGTTTTTTATTTGTGTTTTATCCACTTTCAGAGGGGTCATAACTCCAGCGAATGTCAAGAGCTGACTCTACTATTATTACTACTACAACTAAGACTGCTGTTGTCATTAAGAAGTGTTGCCGAGTTGACTTCAGCTTATGCCTGCATGAAATGAGAGACTTCCGGGTTACCTTATCATCAACAATCTCCAAGAAATTTATTATATGTGTTGTCGAAGGTTTTCATGGCTGGAATCACTGGATTGCTGTAAAAAGAGCCCCAGGTGGCGCAGTGGGTTAAACCCCTGTGCAGGCAGGACTGAAGACCGACAGGTCACAAGTTCGAATCCGGGGAGAGGTGGATGAGCTCCAGCTCCTCATGCGGGGACATGAGAGAAGCCTCCCACGAGGATGATAAAAACATCAAATCATCCAGTCGTCCCCTGGGCAACGTCCTGGCAGACGGTCAATTCTCTCACACCAGAAGCGACTTGCAATTTCTCAAGTTGCTCCTGACACAACCCAAAAAAAAACTGGATTGCTGTAAGTTTTTGGGGCTGTATGGCCATGTTCCAGAAGCATTCTCTCCTGATGTTTCTCCCACATCTATGGCAGGCATCCTCAGAGGGTGTGAGGTCTGCTGGAAACTTGGCAAGTGTGATTTATCTACCTGTGGAATGTCCAGGGTGGGAAAAAGAACTCTTGTCTGCTTGAAGCAAGTGTGAATATTGCAAATGGCCACCTTGATTAGCATTTAATGAACTTGCAGCTTCGCAGCCTGTCTGGTTGCTGCCTGGTGGAATCCTTTGTTGGATTAAAGCCCTGGCAGACTGTGCAAAAAGAATCTGCCCAACATATGGTTTCAGTCATCATGTATAGATTTGCCATGCTCGTGCTGTTTAAGAAGATGGCCACTGGATGCCACTGTTGTTCTTTGCAATGAAGATCTTAACATTACTGTAAACATGTCAACACAGAATACTAACAGGTTTCATAAAGAATAAGGCTTGGTGGACGAAAGCCGTTCTCTGGTCCTGAGTTAAGGAAGAGGATGGTTTGCTCAGACAAAACAGAAGACCTGGGATGTTAAATTGGGATAGAGTTAAATAGCTCTATGAAGAAATGAAGTCTGGATTATAAGGGGATGCAGAAAAAAGGGGAATAGGGAGTAACCGAGGACAGCACTTGAAAATGGGGAGCAATGGTGACAGGAACAAAATACAAAAATATAAAAGAAAAAGAACACAACAGAAAGGAAGACAGGATAAGGAAGGAACACAAGAGATAGTGGAATTAATTTAGAAAGGGAAATCACTATGTAGATGACATGCTTAACATGAAATTTCAAGCAGACCAGATAAAATGACTTCTTAAATTAAATGATTTTTAAATCTTTTTTTTAAAAAAAAAACACATACACACAGGGAGGCCAGGGAAGAGAAGCAGGGAAACGTTGAATTGAATCATTTCCGACTCACTTACTGCTTCATAACAGAAATGGGGGGGAAAGGTTTGGAAGTGCAAAGGGACTTCTGGTTGCCTTAAAAACTTTGAAATTGCTTCAAAAAGTGACTCTTTCCGAATTTATTCTGAATTACGAAGATTCCGACTGAACCCCAACCACACCTAGTTACTATCTCAATCATCCATGTACATCTTTTTGGATTTTGAAGTGTTTCAGATCCCAGGGTGAAGGTTCACTCAGAAGAGTCTGCATCAACTGAGTAACTGGCATTAAAAGGGAAGTGGTTGGGTGGGGGGAGGGGGGAGATCCAGCAGAGACTTTGCCCTTAGTCAAAACTCAAACTGGATCTTTTTTGCATGACGACCTAGAGCCCAAGTGGAAAGGTGGTGAAACCATCCAGTTTGATGGGCAGACACATTCAAGCTCTTTTCTTAGGCACAAAGCTTGGTTGCAAACAAGGACTCCATGGAAGCAGTGTGACTTGAGAGATTGCATGGAATCCAAAACCTGTATCTTAAAAAATCCCCCAACATGTACATGTTGCTACAAGCAAACCTATTTCTCACTCTGAACTTCCTGCATACATTCTTGTGATCTCTGACCTGAGTTACTCGTTCATGACCCAAACTATTTATACCGCATTTCTCTGATTGAAGGATTCAGAAATGCCGACACTCAGCCTTGGCTAATTGACAGCATACATTCTTTACACCTCCCTCCACTTGCCACTTCAGATGTCCTGGTAACAATCTGGCATTCCTATAATACAGTGCGTATTTGCCTTCATCTACCTCCGGCAGGCTGAGTGCCTAATGTTTGCACAGCCAGAACTGAAGCCAACACAGGACCACAAGTGTCATCCAGTCCAATCCGCTGCCAAGGCAGGAATCCACCGCAAAAATATCCTTAACAAATGGCTATCCAGACTACTGTTGCTGCTTATCTAAACCACTGCTTCTAAAACTGTGGGTCCTGCTTGGCTCAATATTGGAAACACAAAGAATTTGGCAACAATAAAAGATTTCTGAAGTCCACTCATTTATACAAGTCTGTAAGTAACAACTTGGAGTATTTGCAGTGGACTCTGCGGAAAATGCTTCAGTTATACTCTCCAAAAAATGAACATCAAGCTTAGCAAGCCTTTAATAAGCTGATTTGTTATAATTAATGTTTGATAATTTTACCTATTTTACACACCTATATACTTGGGAGTCACGTAAAAATTTCTCAGGCAAAAAGGAGTTGTGACTGGGGGAAAAAAATCCAAAACCCTAATCTAGAAAGAGCTGGGAACATTTACTCAAACTCCAAAACTCCCAGCCAGCATGGGAAAGGGTAATCCAAAAAAGTTTTTTTTCTAAGTTTTGAATCTAGGTATGTTTTACACTATTTGGTTTTAATTCATATGTCTTTGGAAGAAAAGACAAACAAACTCAACTTTTTTACAGTTGGTTCTTGTGGGTTTTTTCGGGCTATAGAGCCATGTTCTAGAGGCATTTCTCCTGACGTTTTGCCTGCATCTATGGCAAGCATCCTCAGAGGTAGTGAGGTCTGTTGGAGTTAGGACAATGGGTTTATATATCTGTGGAATGGCTGGGGTGGGGCAAGGACCTCTTCCCTGCTGCAGTTAGGTGTGAATGTTTCAGCTGATCACCTTCATTAGCATTTGAAGGCCTGCCTGAGCCTGGGAAAATCTCTTGCTGGGAGGTGTTAATCTGTGTCTGGTTGTTTCCTCTCTGTTGTTTTGCTGTTGTAATTTTAGAGTTTTTTTTAATACTGGTAGCCAGATTTTGTTCATTCATTTTTTACAGTTAGCAGAACCAAATGGAACCAAATGAATAAGCTGGCTCAAGTGTGGCTGGTGGGAACAAAAGAGAGGACCTTCTACCTGACCGCTTCCCATCTCTAGAACTCCCTCCCTAAAGAATTAAAAATGGCCTCCTCTCCTTTAAAAAGCTACTAAAGACACATATATGCAATTTACCCTATGGAGAGAGGGAGGATTAAGTACATCTATACAGTATAACTGTCTCACCCATTGAATTCAAACAAATCACTTTCTTTAGTATTGAATGAGCAAATTGCTTCCTAGAGAATACTGGGCTCAATATACCCACCGAGCAACAATTCATGTTGTCATGTTGTAAAGATGAACCATATCACAAACAGAAGAGAAGAAAAAGGGAAGACAACAAAGCTTTTCGCTCTGAAATGGTTTCTATTGTTATATCTGTGGTCCTTTAACACAGACTACTGAAATCTGTGTTGAACTGGTCAGTAATAAAGTTTTTCTTCCATCCCAGCTGCCATTTCCTCTCCACGCCATTATTTTTAAAATGTCATATTTTATCTTGCCCAAAGCACAGATGTTGAGGCAATTACAATGCACTTACTTTCACATCTTAGATCCAAAATTTCCCATGTTCCATTTTCGGTGCAGAACGAATGGCTCTTTATGCCTTTGGGGTAGTAACCCTTTCGACATTTGTATTCTGCAACGCTTTGTAGCCGAGACATTCCATTCCATATCAGGTCTGAGTCAGGTATGACAGGCGGTGGTCCACAGGTTATTGCTAAATGGGATCAAAAACAATATTAACCTAGAAGCAATAGTATAAATAAATGAATAATATAATAATAGCACTTTGTTTATATTCCGCCCTATCTCTCCAAGGGGGCTCAAGGCAGATCACAGTACACATACACGGCAAACATTCAATGCCTTTTTGGATAGATAGGACAGAGACAGACAGAACATAATGTTGTGTTGACGTCTAGCTTTTTGGTGCCTTGGAGATTGTGCTCAAATCCAGTCACAGGGGGGTGCTGTCACTCCATCCTCTATGACGAAAAGCCATCGGGACTTCCCCTTCCTTTTGGTTGCTGGGAATTTTCTGATCTTTTTCTTTATGGTGTCGCAAAATACCTCCCCCACTTCTTTTAGCAGTACCTAATTTCTCTACTTACAACTCAAGCTGTTTTTGAACTGCTTAGGTATACAGTGAGCTGGGCTGACAGTTAGATGCTCATGCCGACCCGGGGCTTCAAACGGCAACCTTTTGGTTGGTAGATCTTATCAATGCTGGTGACTTACTGGCTGTGCTAAAGCCCGGCCCTAAATAAACCATGGCCTCATTGTGAAATGGATGGGTACGTGTTTCATAAGTGATCCACAGGCTTGCCCTGGATGAGTATGGAGGGAAAATGCATTTTATGCCGACTGCAACTAGAAACCCCTCTTATGATTCCAAATAGTATCTGGGGCTGGGCTTTAGCACACCAGGTTAAGCCGCCAGCTGCAGAAAATCTTGCCAATCAAAAGGTCAACAGTTCAAGCCCAGGTTGGGATGAGCTCCCAACCATCAGCCCAGCTCCTTCTTACCTAGTAGTTCGAAAACAATAATGTGAGTAGATAAATAGGTACCGCTTTGGCAGGGAGGTAATAAAAGGAGTCCATGCGGACATGCCGGGAATTCAATTGAGAGAGTGTCTAAAGACAACAAAGCTCCTCGGCATAGAAGATGGAGTGACAGCGCCCTCCATGGCTGGAGTCGAGCAGAGACTCCAGGTGCCTGAGATGGAAAAAGATGGGAAGCATTTACCTCTGTTTATATACTTTCTGTCTCTGTTAACTGTATAACGGTATTGAATAGTTGCCATACATTACAATCCGCCCTGAGTCCTCTCGGGGAGATAGGATGGAATATAAATAAAGTATATTATTATTATTATTATTATTATTACTACTACTACTATTATTAATCTTACCAATATTTTAATGGGAAAGTGGGGTTGCTTTTGGCTGATGAGATAGTCAAGTTACTTATGATTGTTGTTTTTGTTGTGTGCCTTCAAGTCATTTCAGACTGAAGGTGACCCTAAACCTAAAGTTTAGGGTGCAGGCTGGAAAAATGACCTTTATTTGGGAACCCTGCTCTAGAGCATTCTTTATTTTTTTTCTTAACACAAGATAAAACCAGGTTAACTGGGCATCCAGGTTCAACCGCTGGTCAAAAGTGGGCTATAGGGCCAGTGTGGAGAAGCCCTTAGTGGTCTGCTAAATCTTCAGGCTAATTGCCACTCCAGATGAGCTTTGAGACACAGCTATTAGGACAAATGAGATGATAAGCGTCTTAGAGGGGTGTCTTTTCCACACTATGAGTTTAGTCCCAGAATTTTAGTTACTAATTTTAGTTACTAATGAGAATTGTAGTTACTAATGAGGTTTACTAAAATGATTTTGTATGAATCTCCAACATATAACGCTTGTGAATGATCAAGAGGCAGCTTTTCATTTGGCAGAAAAGTGAATTATTTCTGTCATTTTCATTAACATTTTAGCAGAACACGATAGATCATATATTTACCTCTGCATTCAAAAGTGATGTTTTCCCACTTCCGAGATATGGTGCATTGTGAAAAATTGCGTTCGCCAAGGTACTGAAACCCTTTCCTGCATTGATAGTATATTGTGCTTCCTAAAGTGGTGGAAAAATCCCAGATGATGTCTGCGTTTTGAAGCTGTGGTGGCTTCCCACAGTTTATTTCTTACAGGAAAGGAAAAGAAAGACAACACAGTCAGCATGTAAACATGCATCACATACAGATTGCAGAGATTGCAAATATAATCGAAGCTGACATCAATTCACACAAGGGAGTTTTTCCTTTCTCTTCCAGTCCTTGCAGTGACCCAAGTTTGCTCTGAAGGGTCCTTCAACTTCCTGGAGGACATCAGAAATATATAAGGAGAATCTGTATTGTAAATCATAGTCCCATGTAATTTGTATAATTCTTAAATATTAAGCAACCGGCAAGAGATCCATGCATACTACACCTTGTGCACACACACACACACACAAAACAGAGAAAACACATGCCGCAAAAGAAGGAAAACACGCAGACCGACAAACAAACAAAAACCTGATATACATATCAAACTGTAATTCATACATACAGAGCACATCCTCCTTCCCTATAACACTATGTAACAAAATTTGAAAAATGTTTTGTTCCTGGTTTGAAAGTGTTATTTCCTGTTTAATTTTGCTGTACCTACTTTGAAAGTAGTTGTTATACTCCATAACTTTGATTTGTGGCTGCCACAAACTATGCTGAATTGGTTGAGACTCTATCAGATATACATTGAAAAACTACAGCAAAATGTGCTGCAAGATGTCCCACAACAACAACGTTTTTACAGTTTAATAAACTTTTTCCATGTTTTTATGATAGAGCCAATTAGGACATGAGATTTATAATCCGGGAACAAAAGTTGTGTTACATAGTGTAATTGGTTGGAAAACTGTGCTCAAAGGATTGTTCTCATTGGCTGTGTTGTGAATTGGAAGAAGGTTTCAGGTGGAATACCTCAGGGTTTTGTCCTGGGGCCAAAGCTCTTCAATGTCTGAGTTTTGTTTTTGTTTTGTTTTTTTCGTGTCAGGAGCAACTTGAGAAACTGCAAGTCGCTTCTGGTGTGAGATAATTGCCTGTCTGCAAGGACATTGCCCAGGGAATGCCCAGATGTTTTACCATCCTGTGGGAGGCTTCTCTCATGTCCCCGCATGGGAAGCTGGAGCTGACAGATGGGAGGCTCACCTTGCTACCAGGATTCAAACCGCTGACCTTCTGGTCAGCAGTCCTGCTGGCACAAGGGTTTAACCCACTGCACCACCGGGGGCTCCTACCCTTCCATGATCAAACTCTAGGAAATCCGATTCACCAAAACTTTTTAATTTCTTTTACCTTTGCACACAATATCAGCTCCTTCCCATTGTCCTCTGGCATTGCAAACTGAAGTCTGGTTTCCACTTTCGATGCCATAACCAGGCTGACAGATATAAGTGACTCTGTTTCCAAAAGTCGTTTTATTCAGAGGCTCTGCATATGCCTTTGGAAAAGAAGGTGGGATTCCACAATCCACCTCTGAAGACGAGAGACAAAGGAAAGAACAGTCAAGATGCGAAGAACCTAAATAGAGCCCCAATGGATAAGACCAAATTCTACCTATTCTACTATGAAGAAGACTAACAGCCTGATGATACTTTCAACAACGATAATTATAAAAATGAGGAAGAGGAGAAATACCAAAGTTCAGTTCTCAGAAGGTCCTATTTTATTGAATAACTAGTTTGGGTACCTGGCATAGCCCGGGTTATTTGAAAATGTATATTTTTTAATTGTACAAAATGCCTAAGGTTGTGGGTGAACTACAACTGACACCATGCCAGGTTAACCCCAAAAAACTCCATCAGTACTTAAAGTTTGTTATGCTGGGCAAGTTTGCTCTAGATGCATCATCAGTGGGGCTCAATGTGCTCTCTGGCTGCAGGGTAAACTACAACTCCCACAATGTTGGGTCAGTCCCATCAGACCCTTCAAGTAGGTTGAGTTAGTCATGGGGGTTCTGTGTGCCAAGTTTGGTCCAGGTCCATCATTGGTGGAGGTCACAGTGTCTGTAGTTGTGCGTGAACTACAACTCCCAGAAAGGAAGGTCAGTTCCCCCCCCAAACCCCAATCCCCCCCCCCCCAAGTAATCAAATTCCAGCATATTGGGTATGTGCACCAAGTTTGGTCCAGATCCCTCAGTGTTTGGGTTCAGTGTTCTCTGGATGTAGGTGAACTACAACTCCCCCAAATCAGGGTGAATTTCCCCAAAAGACCTCCAGTATTTTTTGCTGGTCACGGGGGCACTGAGTGCCAAGTTGGTCCAATTCCATCCTTGGTGGTGTTCTGAGTGCTCATTGATTGCAGGTGAACTATAAATCCCACTACCTACAACTCCCAAATGGCAAGGCCAAAACCCACGAGTATTCAAATTTGGGCATATTGGGTATGCATGCCAAGTTTGGTCCAGATCCATCATTGATTGGGTATATAGTACTCTCTGGATATAGGTGAACTACAACTCCTATAAATCCTCCAAAAAATTTTTATTGGTCATGGGGGTTTTGTGTGCCAAATTAGTTCCAAATCCATCGTTGTTGGAGTTATGAGTGCCTTGGATTCCAGGTGAACTATACATCCTAGGACCTACAACTTCTATAAATTGTGAATTCTCCCCAAACCTCTCTAGTATGTGCAGTTGCTGATCAATCCCTCTGTTTGCTGTGTGCCCACCCTTCACTTGGGTGGTGAGCAGCACTATATTTGTGGAGGACATTGGCAGGGCTCTTGTATGTGTTCATGGCGCTCACTATAACCTGCAATGTCACTGGAGGGAGGGCCTTTGGTGTCTCCTGAGTAGTGGGAGCTACGACTATCTGTGGAGGCGAGAGCTTGTCTGTGTAAGTGGACACCCCAGCCATATACACACATGCATATTTTCTATTTTATTATATGAATATGTTTGAAACTTTTGCCAAATCTGTAAATACTGATAAAACTTAAGGAATTACAGATACACAATTGTTTTCCTTTGTGATTCACAAGGCAGTCTGCCAGAAAAGAGTGTGGGAACCTTGTAAAACTACAAGGAAACTGCTTCTGCCAAATACTACACAGCTATGCAAAATATTTCTGAGTGGTTTTCTTTACACCTCCACACGTAAAAGAGGCTAAAGTCGTATTCTTTCTTTCTTTCTCCCCTTCTCAAGAGCAACTCTCACCTTTGCATGAAGCCTCTGATGCAGCTGAATGAAATGGCTCAGATCCATTTTCTACTTGGTATCCCTCCATGCAATAGCACTCATAGCTTCCCACAGTATTCACACAGTTCCCTCCGGGACCACAGATGTCCGAGACTTCGCACTCATCAATATCTAGAAAACGCAATACAATTGGTTTGATTCATTATACTATGTAACATGATTTTTGTTCCTGGGTTATAAATGTAATTTCTGGATATGTTCTGTATCTTAAAAACTAAAGCTGACAGAGGAAAACTGGAATCTGCAGGTCAAAGGGCTAACATTTGAGGTACCAAAATCTGTTGGCCAATGTAATAGGCAAAAGGATTGGGGACTTATATCTTTAAGGCTTAGGTAAGGGTAAAAGTTTTCCCCTGACATTAAGACCAGTCGTGTCCGACTCAGGTTGGTGCTCATCTCCATTTCTAAGCCAAAGAGGCGGCATTGTCCATAGACACCACCAAGGTCATGTGGCCAGCATGACTGCATGGAGCGCTGTTATCTTCCTGCTGGAGCAGTACCTATTGATCTACTTACATTTGCATGTTTTCAAACTGCTAGGTTGGTAGAAGCTGGGGCTAACAGCGGCAGCTCACCCCGCTCTCCGGACTTGAACCAGCAACCTTTTGGTCAGCAAGTTCAACAGTTCAGTGGTTTAACCCACTGCGCCACCGGAGGTTTACCACTGAGAAAGGAAAGAGTGGTATCTGTAAGGTACAACACTGTCATCTTATGACACACTGTATTCACTTTGAGCTTTCCATGGTGATACTGTTACTGGCCTACCATGCCTCAGTGGTAAACAACTAGTGAGGACAGATAACCTGGTAGTATTTTCACTACATTAAATCCATGGATAACTATCCCTTTCCCAACTCAAGTTCTGAACTGATTGGTACCAGACTTGCATCATTATAACATGTCCTCTGGGCAATGTCTGTCTGCAATTTTGAGAATAGTATGCATGTGTAGTATCTATCTATCTATCTATCTATCTATCTACATTTTATATGTGTATCAATTTAGACATATATTTATCATGCTCAAGGAGGGCTCGGGATGTGCATTAACGTGAGAAACAGCTTACAGATGAAAACTAAATCTGGCCGTAAGATATGCTTTTCAGATCCTGGCAGTTGCAGTACTTACCTACACAGTTTGTGCCATCATTGGGAATAAATATCTTGTTTTTACTAGAAGCCTGGAAACCCTCAAGGCAAACACAATAAAAGCTTCCATATGTATTGTGGCACGAAGTATGGTTGCCACAAATCTTCTCTGTCCCAATTTGGCATTCATCTTTGTCTAGCAAAAACATTGAATGTGACAACATGTTACACACAGGACAAAGAGCGGCCAATAAGAACAATATTCTCCATCAATATTATTTTCTCGTTAAGAGAGATTATGGCTAGAATACTGTTTGCTGGTTACAGACCTTCATTGTAATTAAACTAGTGAGCTATTATATTCTGCCAGTGTTAAAAGTCCAACCCCGTTCTTCCATGCAGGAACACAATCAAAGCACCCCAGACAGATGGCCATCCATCCTCTCCTTAAAAACCTCCAGAGAAGGAGACCCCACCACCCAGAGAGGCAGCCTATTATACTGCCGAACCGTTCTTACCATCAGGAAGTTCTTCTTAATGTTTAGACAGAATAACATACAGGTTAATAAAAGTTCACTTACCTTGACAGTATGTTCGTCCATTGCCCACAAATCCGTAATTACAAATACAGACATTTTTGCCCTCCTTTTGCTGGCACGTGGCATTCGCATGGCATGTAGCACACACATCGGAGAGTAACTCTACAGAAATGGCAGAAATACACATTAGAGGATTAGGAGATGACTTTGGGAGTATACTGGGCAGCTAGCTTTCTACAAAGGTTCGTTCTCCAAATGAATCACACTGAAGAAGATCCGCACATCATGGCTGGTGAGTCCCTGGGCCCTTCCATGCAGCCATATAACCCAAAATATCAAGGCAGATAATCCACAATATCTGCTTTGAACTGGGTTATCGGAGTCCACACTGCCATATAACCCAGTTCAAAGCGGAAAATGTGGGATTTGTCACACAGACCTGGTATGTTGAAATGTGATTACTGGGGGAGTTTTGGGGGGAACTGGCCTTCCTTCCTGGGAGTTGTAGTTCACCCACAACCAGAGATACCGTGACCTCCACTGATGATGGGCCTGGTCCAAGCTTGGCACACAGAACTCCTATGACTAACTCAACCTACTGAAGGGGTTTGAAGGGACTGACTCACCATAGTGGGAGTTGTAGTTTACTCTGCAGCCAGAGAGCACACTGAACCCCACCGATGATGCATCTAGAGCAAAACTGCCCAACATGACAAATTTTAAGTACTGATGAAATTTCTGTGCATGATGTGAGTTGTAGTTCACCCACAACCTTGGGCATTTTTTGTACAATTTAAAAAATGGACTTTTTCCATGTTTTGCAGCTTGGAGGTTGGGTTGTCTTAGGTTTTTCGGGCTGTATGGCCATCTTCTAGAAGCATTCTCTCCTGACATTTCGCCTGCATCTATGGCAAGCATTCTCAGAGGTTGTGAGAAGCTTGGAAGTTATTTATTACGTACTCACGCAGGCACTCTGCACATGGGCAGAGGCCCCTTTTCCACTCTCATTGATCCTCATCCTCTTGGGCGAAAGTCTGGCAGGAAGGGATCCCTTTCTTTTCCCAAATTAAGGACATCCCAAAACCACCAATGGATTCCTTACCCGGCTCCTTCTCTTCCTCGGAGGAGCAGGAGAACAGGAGCAGCGTTAGCAGCAGAGAGAGATCACTGGCAGCGCCTCTCCGGCTCATGTTTTCCCTCGCGTCCCGCTCCTCTTCGCGCCTGCGCATTGCGGCCAGTGCATCTTTCTCCGCATGAGGCGGCTCCCCCTACCGGCGGTACTCGGAAGTGCACACTGCGCCTGGAAAGTTTCTCAAGCCGCACTTTGCATCTATTCCACAACTGTGGCCCAGTCTGGTGATCTGGAGAATAAAGTAACGAGAAAGTGTTGGTTTCTAATATATGTAATTTCTTGATACTTGTGGGTAAACAGTATTTCTAGCTGTTTCTTTGTCACTGTTGATGTAGAGATTGTCTGGTTTGCCTGCTTTGCAACATATAATTGTCCTTCTTTAGGGGTCCAGTTCAAATCTATGATACTATATATCTCTCTGTGTGAATCATATCTATCTGACACTGAGAACTGGGAAACCCTGGCCCTTAAGCGCTCCAGTTGGAGGTCAGCTGTGACCAGCAGTGTTGTAGAATTTGAAGAGGCATGAATGGAGGAGGAAAGAGAGAAACACGCAAAGAGGAAGCCAACCCCAACCGTAACTACTTTCCACCTGGAAACTAATGCCCTCACTGCGGGAGAACATGCTGATCAAGAATAGGGCTCCACAGTCACCAATGGACTCACCGCCAGGACTGACCCTGGAGGACTATTCTACTCGTACAACAAGGGATCGCCTAAGTAAGTAAGTATATATCTATCTATATCTATGGCTGGCTCTTTGTCAGGAGGGCTTTGATTACGTTTTCTTGCCCTCTTGAAGGGAGTTGGGCTGGGTGACCTTAAGTATTTTCTGTTGGTCATGGGGGTTCTGTGTGGGAAGTCTGCCCCAATTCTGTCATTGGTGGGGTTCAGAATGCTCTTTGATTGAAGGTGAATCCCAGTAACTACAACTCCCAAATGACAAAGTCTATTTTGATGGCCAAAAGCAAGGAGGAGCTGAGGAGCCTTCTAATCAAGGTGAAAGAAGAAAGCGCAAAAGCTGGGTTGCAGTTAAACATAAAAAAAACCAAGATTGTGACAACAAGAATGATTGACAACTAGGAAATAGAGGAAGAAAACGTGGAGGCAGTGACAGACTTTGTATTTCTAGGTGCAAAGATTACTGCAGACGCAGACTGCAGCCAGGAAATCAGGAGACGCTTACTTATTGGGAGGAGAGCCATGTCCAATCTCGATAAAATAATGAAGAGTCGAGACATCACACTGGCAACGAAGATCCGCATAGTTAAAGCAATGGTATTCCCCATAGTCACCATAGGGAAGGCTGAGTGAAGGAAGATAGATGCTTTTGAGCTGTGGTGTTGGAGGAATGTTCTGAGAGTGCCTTGGACTGCGAGAAGATCCAACCAGTCCATATTTCAGGAAATAAAGCCCAACTGCTCATTGGAGGGAAGGATATTAGAGGCAAAGATGAAGTAGTTTGGCCACATCATGAGAAGACAGGAAAGCTTAGAGAAGACAATGATGCTGGGGAAAATGGAAGGAAAAAGGAAGAGGGGCCGACCAAGGGCAAGATGGATGGATGGCATCCTTGAAGTGACTGGCTTGACCTTGAAGGAGCTGGGGGTGGTGACGGCCGACAGGGAGCTCTTGCGTGGGCTGGTCCATGAGGTCATGAAGAGTCGGAAATGACTGAACGAATGAACAAGATTTCCCCCAAACTTCATATTTGGGCATATGGAATATTTGTGCCAAGTTTGGTCTAGATCCGTCATTGTTTGTGTCCACAGTTCTCTCTGGATGTAGGTGAACTACAACTCATAAACTCAAGGTCAATGCTCACCAACCCCTTCTTGTGTTTTCTGTTGATCATGGGAGTCCTGTGTGCCACATTGGGTTCAATTCCATCGTTGGTTGAGTTCAGAATGCTCTTTGATTGTAGATGAACTATAAATCTCAGCAACTACAATTCCCAAATGACAAAATCCATTTTTTTGAGTGATGGTCACTCCTTGAGTTAGTAGGTGCCTTGAGGCCAAATTTGGCAGCAATTCATCCAGTGTTTCTTGAGTTATGTGAATCCCACAAACGAGCATTACATTTTTATTTATATAGATGTAGACTTCATGCAGTTTGGCACCGCTTGAACCTCTAGAGCTCAGTGCTACAGAATCCTTGGCTTTTGTTGGGAAAGCACCAGGAAAGGTAAAAGACCTTGCAAAACTATAATTTTCAGGATGCTTTAGTATTTTTGAGCCTAGGCAGGGAAAGTGCCAGATTGCATCAGTGTAGATCAGGGATGGGCAAATTTTGGCCCTCCAGGTGTTTTGGACTTCAGCTCCCACAATTCCTGGCTTTTCTCCCTGCTTGATTCACACTGAATTGGATGTGAGGCGAGATTCACATTTGGGGGTGTCATTTCTGAACCATCCTTCTCCTGCATGTCGTCTCTCCCTTTCCCAGCCCACTTCCTCTCCAAAGCCTCCTATTCAAAGCGCAACTGGCTGCCCTGATAAGGGCCCCCCTTATCTTTGCAAGTTGGTGGTGAGTTGCAGGCTGTAAATACGAGTTGTGCATTATGTTGAGTTGTCTTTCTCATGTGACTGAGCATGAGGCTTTTTAAGAAAAGAAACTAACAGCCTAGTTTAGTTTTTATTATCTCAGGATTTCTGATGCCTCAAGAAATAGTAAAATAGATAAAAGTGTCAATTCTTGGCCTTGACTTAACATTCAATTCTCTGTTTTCATTCAATGGTTCACAAAATGTGGCAGTCATATGGACGGGACATGGCACATATCTTCCATCATTTCACAGATGAAAACGAAGATGTGTGTGGCCAAGCAACCTCGAAGTTATTCATGAGGCTGCATCTATTTGCTCTTACCTCTCTTTTCCCTTCTTTCCCCTCATCTCTGCTGATTTGCATGGAAGCTACTTGTGTATTTTGAACTCAAGTTTGCAGCCACTGAATTAAGCTGAAGATGGGTCCTTCCACACAGGCATATAACTCAGAATATCAAGGCAGATAATCCACTATATCTGCTTTGAACTGGGTTATTTGAGTCCACACTGCCATATAATCCAGTTTAGTGTGGATTTTATACAGCTATATGGAAGGAGCCAATGAAAGAGGAAAGCAGGCAGCGAGAACACTTTAAAAGCAGATGAAGAAGTGGGACAACAGTGGGACAATTGGGAGTGCCTTGCCAAACTGGACATGTCTTTCATATTGGTCCTCTCACAATATCTGGTTCAGTCTTTTCTAAATCTGAAAATAGTTCTGTATGCAGAAATGCTCAATTATGCAAGTCTTGCCCCAAGAACATCCTGTGCATTGTGAAATGATGTTCTTTCCTTGGAAGAACTTGAAGTGCTCAGTGCTGCAAAATTGCATTGTCTAAGAGAGGAGGCAATTAATGCAACTCTTATGTCCTTTCTACACTGCCATATAAAATCCAGATTATCTGCTTTGAACTGGATTATATGGCAGTGTAGACTCACACAATCCAGTTAAAAGCAGATAATGTGGATTTTCTGATTTGATAATCTGGATTTTATGGCAATGTAGAAGGGACCTTAAAGGTTGGACTGCAAATTCTAGCAGCTTGAGCAACTAGGCAGTTAGTGTTGTAAGATCAGAGGGCCACATGATTCGGATCCCTGCTCCAAAATTATTGTACTCTCCAGTATTTATATTACAATTGGCAGAGTCAAAATAGCCCCTACCATGGTCACCTGCTGCCCCTGAAGAAGATAGTTAAAGGAAAGACTTACATATTTGGAGTATAGGCTGTCCACATTGAACTCTTGAAAGCAGCCCATATGTCTCTCTCCACCAAAAACAATCTTTTTCCTCTTCAGCTGAGCTTCTGTTGCTTCTCTCCTCCAAAGAAGGACTTTTTCTCCTTCCTCTGCTGAGAGAATTGCAGCCAGCTCTCTGTTGCTTCTCTCCGCAGAGGAAGAAGGCAAACTCCTTCCTCTACCGAGAGAAATACAGCCAGGCTCCACTAGATTTGGGACCCAGGAAGGGGGCTGCTTTTGATCAGTCTGTATTGGCAACCTGGTTCCACGCTGCCCTCATCTTCATCCAAGGAAGGACCTTCAAGTATAACTGAAACCACATAACACAAATTTGCATTATAAGCAGGCCTATTGTCGTTGAAAAAGAAGAGGAAAAGAACATTAAAGAGAATCATAGAATCATAGAGTTGGAAGAGACCTCGTGGGCAATCCAATCTAACCCCTTGCCAAGAAGCAGGAAAATAGCAATCAAAGCACCCCCAACAGATGGCCATCCAGCCTCTGCTGAAAATCCTCCAAAGAAGAAGCCTTCACCACACTCTGGGGCAGAGAGTTCCACTGCTGAACAGCTCTCCCAGTCAGAAAGTTCTTCCTAATGTTCAGATGGAATCTCCTTTCTTGTAGTTTGAAGCCTTGGTTCCGCATCCTGGTCTCCAGGGCAGCAGAAAACAAGCTTGCTCCCTCCTCCCTATGGCTTCCTCTCACATAATTATATATGGCAATCATGTCTCCTCTCAGCCTTCTCTTCTTCAGGCTAAACATGCCCAGCTTTTTAAGCCGCTCCTCATAGGACTTGTTCTCCAGACCCTTGATCATTTTAGTCACCCTCCTCTGGACACATTCCAGCTTGTCAACATCTCCCTTCAATTGCAGCGCCCAGAAATGGATACAGTATTCCAGATGTGGTCTGACCAAGGCAGAAAGAGGCACCCAATTAATATGTAAGATTTGAATCGTTTTGGTAGCAGTTACATATGTCACACACACACAAATAAATATGCACACACTCTCAGTACTTTAGCTAAATGAAAGTGAACTCGGGGAATATAGATTAGCTTTTCAAAATGAAACTTAAATGTATTTTTATACATTTTGCTGTCAGTTAGCTGCCTGCTGAAAAGCTGAGATGAGGATAGCTGGGACTTGAAAGAGAATGTGCCTTTGTGTGTGCCTCACACGGAGAACAAATATTGTTCTTCTGGTCTATATGCAATCAGATTAATTAACAATCACCTCCTCCTTCTGCTGTTAGGCAATCAGGCAAGCATAAGCAATAAAGTGTGCCGGAGCAGATATAACTGAAAAATAGCTGATCCAGGGTTCTCAAGTTCTCATTTAATGTTTGGTTAAGTTTTCTTTTTCTGTGTTGTCTTTTTCTCTTTCCTATAATACTAA